ATGTGCAAAATGATGTAAAAATAAACTTTGTAATAAAAAAAAAGAATTAGCAGTTTCTTCTATAGTTTGAAATACTCTATTTAGAACACTCAGAAAAAAAATGATACATATGACAGTGACTTAAAAATAAATACCTCTTTTGAGTCCAAGAATACAAGAATAGCAAGGATTAAAAAATCTTATTACTGACTTTTTCCTTTTACTTCTAAAGAAATTAAATAAATATTTTCAAATTTTACTAATATGATAATATATGCCTTTTTAAAGGGACTTTACTATTCTTACTTCAAGACCATTATTGAAGCACCTTCCTTTATGGAAGGATTATGGATGATTATGAATGACAGGCTTACTGAATACCCTCTTGTAATTAATACAGTGAAACGCTTCCATCTTTATCCAGAGGTAAGTACAATTTTCGGACAAATATTTGTAAGTAAGCACAATGATGTCATTAAAAGCATGGGGCCTTTACGGTTTATTGATTGTGTATGCCCTGACAGTTGAACAAGCACCAGTTCCTTTTTTAAGGACTCCAGAAACTATGCCTACATAAACTCAAAAAACAGAAACTTATTATGGAAGAAATAACTGGTATATTATATAAATCGAAGGGGAGAGAACTAGGAAGAATTCTAAATGGAGATTGTGTGTTGACTGTAGAAACTGTGAATAGGCCTAATGTCTACATGCAGGGACTGAGAGAGTGATGGATGAACAGTAAAGCAAGATTCATTTGGGCATGTGAACAGAAATCTTTGAATATCTGCCAATGATTATTAGCCTTAAAAAGGCTACTTAAAAAAGATAATTATAATTTTATTACAAATAATAAAAAGGGCTAATAAAAGGGCTTATTAGCCTTAGAAAATATATTGAACATAATACTGGAAACTCTAGCCAGAGCTAGGGCAAAAGAAAGACATATACAAGGAATCCCAATAGGGAAAGAAGTAAAGCTATCACTATTGCAGATGATATGATAATATACATAGGAACCATAAAAACTCCACAGAAAAAGTAATCAAAACAATCAACCAGTTTAGTAAAGTAGCAAGACACAAAAATCAACAGAAAAATCAGTAGCCTTCTGTGCCGGACCTTGACCAGCAAGGCCGGAGAGTCGGAGCCCCAGGGCCGGCGAACAAAGGAAGCAGTCACACATGTGTATCAGAACAGAGAGAGAGAGAGAGAGAGTTTATTTTTTCTTTATCTGGTTTATATAAAATACAAGAGGTGGGGGATGCAGAAGTCAGGAAGGGAGAAGGCCAATAGACACTAGACATGTAGCAGTGCTTGATGACATGGTTCTCGCGAGGGACAAAAATGGGCGAGAATGGAGCAGTGGTTAGATAATAGGTGGGTGAGAGAAGAAAGAGGAGAAAGAAAAGGTGGGGGCAAGGAGTTCTTCCCGCATGCCTTTTACAACCCGGATGTTTTTCCTCTATCCGGACTCCATTTCACCTTTTTATGGCTGCTGACAGACTCCAGATGCCGGCCTCGGTCCCCAACAGCCTTCCTATATACTATCAATCTGAAGGAGATGTCAAGAAAACCATCCCTTTTATAACTGAAACAAAAAAAATCAAGTAATTTGGAATAAACCTAACAAGAGAGGTGAAGGATCTCTACAAAGAGAATTATAAAACATTGTTTAAAACAATAGAAGACACAAAGAAATGGAAGACATCCCCTGCACATGCATTAGAAGAATCAACATTGTTAAAGTGGTCATCCTACCAAAAGTAATTTATAGTTTCAATGCGAGTTCAATAAAAATCTCAATGACAGTCTTCAAAGAAATAGAACAAATATTGATGAAATTCATAGGGAGACACAAAATGCCTCAAATAGCCAAAGGTCTCCTGATGAAAACAAAGGAGAGTAGTGGTATCACACTCCCAGGCTTCAAACTATACTACAAAGCCATAGTAATTTAAACCATGTATTCAAATCATGTGTGGAACAAAAACAGACACATAGACCTGTGGAACTTAATAGAAAACCCAGAAATAAAGCCACACCTATATTGACAGTGAATCTTTGACAAGGAGCAAAGAACATACAATGGAACAAGGACAGTTTGTTCAATAAATGTGCTGGGAAACTGGACCGCAATAAATAGAAGAATGACTATGGAATATTACCTCACACCATGCACAAAAATCAACTTAAAATGGATAAAAGATCTAAACATTAAGTATTAGGTTTCAGAAGAAAATATAGTTAAAAAACTGCAAGCACACATCTCAGTAACATCTTTAAAGACTCACCACCCTCCCCAAAGCAAAGAAAGTGAAGGAAAAGATAAACAGCTGGGATTACATCAAACTAAAAAGCTCTGTATCTTGAGACCTTAACCAAAACAAAGAGATGCCCTACTGATTGGGAGAAAATTTTTGTACTCCATACAAGTGATAAGGGACTGATCCCAAAGATAGACTGAAAACTCAAACAACAAAAAGTAAACAAGCCAGTCAAAACTTGAGCTGAACTTAAAAGACACAAAGAGGAAATTCAAATGGCTAATGGAAAATGTAAATAACCAATATCATCATGAATTTGATATGTGTATCTAATCATTGTTTTCAAGTAATGTCTTATTTTTGTAAGTCTACACAGATGCTCTAATTATGTTATCACTCAACATTCTTTTTCCTCAACCTATATTTTTGAACCTTGTGTATTTATATTTTTTCTTTAATCTTAACCATTTTATGAAATCCAAAATTTACTTGTACATATTACTATTTATTGATATTGTTTCTAGATTTTTTGTCAACAGTTCTTAAATGCATGTATTTGTCTGTTTCTTTTTTTATTTATCTGTTTCTTAACTGTATGTGAGCGAGATTTTCTCATACATACATACATACACACACACACACATATATATATATATATAAAGTAGAATTGTTTATTGTAGAGTATGTATTTTGTCAACTTTATCAGATATTGCTAAATTGGCCTATGAATCAAATGTAACAGTTACACTGCTATATAGTAGAAGATACTTTTCTTTATATCCTTATTAGATTTCAAAATATGAAATTGTATGATTTTTGCTCTTTTAATGGCCATAATGTATAATAGCCACTTGGATTTATTCTTTCAATAAGATGTATAAATCTTTGTCACCTAATTGATAGTGGTTTTTAAAATTGGTTTGTTGGAATAATTTATATTTTAAAAAATTATAAATTTTTGTGTGAAGAACTGGACTATAAGCCAGAGATATGGGGGCTGGTGGTGAGGGTAAGAGGATTCACCAGAGACAGTGTGGGTAGGAGAACAGGTGAATTTACTGAAATACACTACTAAGGGGAGCAGTGGCCTACGATCAACCTCAGGCAATAGTGGTGATAGTGCTGAAACTTAACCCCTAGGCCAGCAGGGGAATAATTTACATATTTTACATATTTTGAGGACAGTCCTTAGTGTAATACATGCTTACTGTATCTTCCACTGTGACTTCTCATCTTTAAGTATAATCAGCCTTATTGAGGTTTAACTTACTTGCAGTGAAATGCCCCAGTTTTGAATGTATAGTTCTTTAAGTTATGTATTTGAGAAATAAATGCATAGCCACTACCACAGTTAAATTATTAAACACTTTCATAATGCCAACATCTTCTCATACACTTTTAATTATTCTTTCTGAAATGAATATTCTTGCCATTGTATGTATGGGTTTACTTCTGAGTTTTCTACTGCTCTGTTGACCTCTATGTCTGCATTTATACCAGTACATACAACCTTGATTACTGTAGCTTTTTAATAAATCTTGAAATGTGAAATCTCAGGGGCTTAAAAAGTGCTTATTCCTTACAAAGAGTAAACAATTCCATTGGCTATAGGTGATCATATACATATTCCTTTGGTCTTATAAGATTGTTCCTAATTATTTTGGTTTGAGAGGGTCTACTAAAAATGTTGTTTTAAAAGAAAAAATTTATTTCTGTTTACTAATTGTTAATATATAGAAATACAACATAAATAACATAGTTAATTTTTCTATGTTGACATTGCTAAACTGATTAATTCCAGGAGTTTTTATAAGTAAATGTTTCTGTCCTATACAAACATGAGCTGTATATGTTGTTGTTATTGTTTTTCCCACAATCTGTTCCTTTTATTTCTTGTCTGTTGTGTGGGCTAAGGATATAATTTAGTTCCTGATATTAAGAGAAAGAATTCGGTCTTTTATCATTAAGTGTAAAATTAACGATGGGTTTTCAGGATGTCCTTTGTTGGGTTAAAGGAGTTTCTTTTTATTTTCATTTTGCTGAGTGTTTTTGTTCTGGATACTGAATTTGAAAATGCTTTCTTTTTCCAACATGAGAAGTTAGCAAAATGTTTACAGCTAGAGATAAAATAATGAAGATTAGGGTTTTGTTTGAAGGATTTATAAACTGTGGTTTGCTAGTTGTTTCTGGCAAAACTAAGAATATGGAAACCATTCTTTGTTCAGATTGTACAAAAATAACACCCTTATTCTGTTAGTGTGGTGAAGTAGATTGATTGCTTTTCAGATTAAAAAAAAAATTATTCCTTGGATAAAAGCCCTTTGGCCATGACAGTTACCCTTTTTAATTAGCATGGGTTCTATTTGCTATGATTTTGTTAAGGATTTTGCATCTATTTATGCATTGTTCTTTCTCTACATCCTGCTACTCCTTTTCATGTGCTATTTTTTGGTGGTTTTGTTTGTTATTTTGAGGTCACATTGTTTTACAAAGTTTGTGTTTTAGAGGTATAGGATCTCCCCCTCAAATGTTGTTAGCAAACCGTCCCATAGTATGCGCCCATAGTGCTCCTGTAGTCTATTGTGTTCCCTCCCCTTTGTTCTCAGCCCTCCCTCTGAGCCTCAGTTCTACATTTAGATTTCTAGGATTTGTTGTTTGCTTTACATGATTGTTTGTTTTCTTTCTGTATATTCCACATAGCGGTGATACCACCCAGAACTTAATTTTCTCCTTCTGACTTATATTGGCTAGCATAATCCCCTCCATTCCATTCATATTGTCACAGATAGCAGGCATTTATCTGTTTCCATAACATTAGTGTTCCATTGTGTAAATATGCCAGGTCCTCCTGATACACTCATTTGTTTTGAACACTTAGGTTGTTTCTATAACTTGTCTACAGTAAATGGCATAGCAGTGAACATAGAATTTCATATATCCCTTTGTATTAGCTGTTTTGCTTTTTATTCTTTGTGTACTATATTTCTAAGAATTTGTTCATTCCAACTCTAGGTTTTTCAACTTTTTGACATATAAATGTCATACTAATTTCTTCTGAGCCTCTGCATTTCTGAGATACTTATTTTTGCTATGTTTCTGATTATCTGAGTTTTCTCCCTCTTTGTGAAGCTAGTCAGGCTTGTTTGTTTTGTTTTGTTTGTTTATTTTTTTCAAAGGATCTTTTGGATTGCAGTTTTTATTTCTATTTCACTTATTTATGCTCTACTTTTTATTATTTTCCTCTTTCTACTACTATGGTTTTGGTTTGCTCATCTTATAGTTTCATAAGGTGAGAGACAAGAATATTTGAGCTCTTGATTTTTGATGTAAGTCTGATTGCTATAAACTTCGCTATTAGTACTACATTTGCTGTGTCTCATAAGTTCTGGTAGGTTGTGTCATCAATTTCATTTGACTGAAGGTATTTTTAATTTTGTCATTGATACAGTAGTTATCCTGTAGTGTGCTGCTAAGTCTCCACAGATTGGAGGTTTTTCCTGCTTTCTTTTATGATTGGTTTCTAGATTTCGTGTGGAGTTAGATAATTCTTGTTCATTTTTTTTTCTTTATTTCTCCACCTGGATTTTTTTTTTAAGATTTGTTATTTATGCATACAGAACTGAGGTACAGGCCAGAGATGCAGGGGAGGGGCGGTGAGACAATTCACCTAAGAGTGTGGGGAGCAGAACAGGCAGATTGAAGAAGTACACTGCGGAGGGAGCAGTGGGTGAGTCGGGAGAGGTCTGCCACACCATGTGGGCCACCTCTCTGGCCGGGAACCCAAATATTCTTAATTTTTCATGAGCTTTATTTTTTCTTTGACCTATGTATGTTTTAAAAGTGTGTTTTTGTTTGATCTCCGGGTATTTTGGAAATAGTTATTGATTTCTAGTTTAATTAAATTGTGATAAGACAGCAAATGTTTTTTAAAAATCAGTTAAGGTATATTTTATAGCTTATATTGTGATCTGTCCTGATGAATGTTCCAAGTGAACTTGAGAATTATTCTGTTATTGACTAAGGTAGTCTATCAATGTCAATTATACCCATGTGACTGATGATGTTGGTGAACTAAACTATGTCCTTACTGATTTTCTGCCTGTTGAATCTGTCCATTTCTAATAAAAGGGGATTGAAATCTCTTAACTGTAATAAAATATTATTTGCTTTTCCTTGTATTTTACTAGCTTCACCTAATGTTGTTTTGATGCTTGTGTTAGATTCATACATTGACTTTTATGATTTCTTGCAGAATTGACTCCTTTATCTTTATGTAATACAACTCTTGATCCCCGACACATTTCCTTGTAGTAAATTCTATTTGAAAATCATATAGTTATTCCATTTTCTTTCTATAATTATTAGAATTTTATATCTTTAATGCATTTTTAACTCAATACCTGCTTTTATATTTGAAGTTGGTTTCTTGTTTTCTGACAATCTCTATTAACTGATGCATTTAGCTCATTGATACTCGAAATTACTATAGATATAGTTGGGTTGAAATCTACTATGCTTTGGTACTCTTGTCTGGGTTTGTCTTTCTCCTTTGTCTTGAGTTTATCCTCCGCACATTTTATGCCTTTTATAGTTTCACTTAAGTATTATTCTTTATGCATTATGTCATCTTTCTTAAATACTGGGCATGTAATTCTTTTATTTTATATTTTTTTATATACTGCTCTAGAGTTTGCAATATGTAATTACAGCTAATCCACATTTGTTTTCTAGTAACACTTCCTGTGTAATTTAAGTACTTTAAAATAGCAAAATAATTGTAATTCCTCCTTTCTATCCTTTGTATTATTGCTGTCATTCATGTCACTTATACTATATATATTCACAATATAATACATTGTTGGGTTATTATTTTATTTTATTTTATTTTATTTTGGGTTATTATTTTAAAGAAAGATATTTGTTAGCTCAGGTTAAGAATAATTTTTTAACCTTATTATTTATTTAGTGTTCGTTCTTTTTTATGTACATCCAAGTTTCTGGTCCCTTTTTTTTTCCTCTCTAAAAGTCTTCTTTTATAAAGTCTCTCAGGTTTTGCTTTTCTGAAAAAGTATTTAATTTTCTCTTTTGAAGGATAATTTTGCATGATAAGCACTCTGAGTATTTTTCTCTCAACACTTTAAAATATTTCACTCTACTGTCTTTTTGCTTAAATGCTTTCTGAGTAGTCAGATATAATTCTTATTTTATTCCTTTGTAAATAAGATGGTTTCCCCAAGGCCCACAGCTTCTTTCAGGATGTTTTTCATCTTTGATTTCTTTTTTTGTATTTAAAAAATATATTCATTATATCATCCTCCTTTTTGTACAATGTGTAGCTTCCCAGTGAGGTTCCCACCACCAGCTCACATACGCACCATCACTGTAGTCCCTGTGCTCTTCCCACCCTTGTCCTGGTCCTCCTCTCTCCTCCACCTCTACAGGCTCTCTCTGATCTAGAGTTGCCTGGCGGTTTTGATTTTTATGTTATTATAGTGACTTTTTCCCCCTGATTCTTTTTTTTTTAATATGTTATGCCGAGGTGTGGAAAATCTGACTTTTATCCTGTTTGTGTTCCATGAGCTTTGTGTCATGTTTATTTTATGACAAAATTCTAGGACATCGTTTCACATGTCCCTCCTGTCCTTTCTCTCTTCTGGTATTCCCACTGTCCTGGTATTCCCACTACCTTTATGGTGTTTCTTTTGTCATTTTCTACATTTATTGAGTATTTTGTTCTTTTTGTGCTCTTAGTTTTTAAAATTCTAATTTGGAGGGTTTTATTGAGTAATACTGGAGTTTATGGATTTTTATCCTTATCCATGTCCAGTCTAGGAATAAGTCTATCAAAGGCATTTTTTTTTATTTCTGTTCAGAACTTTTAACATCAATAAATTCTTTTAACTTCTTATAACCTCTGCTTATATTGTCCATCTGTTCGTGCATGTTACATATTTTATCCATCAGAGACTTCAGTATGTTAATCATAGTTGTTCAAAAGTCCTAGCCTGATAATTCCAGTGTTGCAGTGTCAACTGTTATAGACTAAGATCTAAGATGAAAAGAGCAATTCTCTGTACCAGTCTTCTCTGTATTCCAACTCATTCTTCAGCGGCACTGTGTTTTATTATTTCCTCTGATGATTATCTCTGTAAGTCTAGTGTAATTTAAAAAATTAAATAGACAAAACCTTTTTCTTCAATCTTCAACCAGTTAATGTTTAATGTGTATATGAAGGCTTAAATCTACCCATGTTTGATAACTATTTTTAGATTTTTGTTTATTCTACAACAGAAGTTTCTGCTACAACATAACCTTTTTACAACATAAACTTATGTTTTAAAATAGCATCATTAATTTTTGAAAATAGGAACGCAAAGATATTAGCCAATTTTCACTTTACTTTTTCAGAAATACTTCTTGAGTAAGTTTTCAGTTTCTATTACATTATAAAAAAGCAACCCTGAGTATGTAATTATCATGTATGATGGTATGTTTTTAAAATTTGATAACATTGTAAAGGGCAAGAAATAAGGAGTCATTTTGGTCTTTTTATATTGCATAGATAAAATTTTGAGAAGATGTAGATTTGCTGGCATTCTTAAGTAGTACTTCTATTTTGAAATGAATGTCCATACTTTTTTTTATTCAAAAGATTTATTTTTCAACTAAAGTTAAACATGTGAGCTTGGAACAATATATTTTGAAAAGGAAAAAACATTTAATGCTTACTATATGCTACCACTTAGATACACAAGCTAATTTCCCTTCACTCCTGTAGAAATTCATTGATTTTATTTTATAGCTGAGGTGACCTAGACATAGAGTTTAAAGGATTACTACAGGCCATAGAAATCATAACTTGTAGAGTCAGGATTAAACTTTAATTCTGACTTCAAAACCAAGCTTTCCTTCTAAGTAAAGCTGCAGCCCACAGAGAAGTAGAATTCCAAATTTAGCATATATATTTAGTAATATATAATGTAGTAGCTGTTTGTTTTTATGTCTAGGGAGTAGGCATGTTTGATATAGAATTCAAATAATAAATTTTAGCAGGATATCAGTTTCATAAGATTAAGTGATAAAGTAGTAATTCTATCCTTTTTAGTTGTGGAAGATGTTTGGATGCTCTGTAGCAATGTATATTATGCTAAAATCGGGTAATCTGTAATATTCCATAGTATTGAATAACCATAGCTATGGGTTTTTGTATATGGAAGGATGATCACCAAGATATTGAAAGTGTTTCATTCTAGATGATTTTTTACTTTCACTTTGAACTGTTTTTAAAAATTTCCCACCAATGATCCTACATTATTTTCCTCAATTACCTAATAGTAGTATTTAAAAATTTCCCAGGCAGGTGTAGTTTGTGTGTTAGTAATCTTTTTTTGTTCTTGTCCCCTTGTCTTTAAGCTTTTTGAAATGAACTGGAGATTGGGAAGAATTGGGTTATTAAATTCACTTAGTCAGATTTTTAATGGAAACATATTATTCAATATGTAGTTTATTTTATATATTTTAATTTACCTTAAAAAATTGTGTTACTTTTATTGAGGTAATGTTGCTTTGCAACACCATATATGATTTAGGGACATAATTTCACACTTCTTCAGATATATTTTATCACACTATACCTACCACCAAATCACAATATTTTAGACTATGAAGAAAATAAAGGGCCTAAATGAAATGTTACAAATCATTTCTGCAAATCTTTATATTTTACTATTAATCACCTCATGCTTTAATTTATACTTTTGTACTTGATCTTACAATTACTTTTACTTTATTACAGACTTGATTAGGAAAGTATATTACAGATATGTTGATCACAACAAATTTTTGTAGGTGTGTAGTACTCAGCAATACACAACTTTAACTTATAGCATGTATATGTGTATGAATGCATGTGCATATATATGTATATATAATCATTCCACATGTATAATTATGTAAATAATTTTGTCAAGGTTTATATTGTTAAGACAACCACCATAAAATAGTATTTTGAAAAATTATTATGAAGATAATTATTATAAAGAAAATATTATATTTCCATCTATTATCTCTTTGTTTTCATCTTTTGTAGGTGTTGATAGCTTGCTGGTATCGCACATTTGTGGGAATAATGAATTTATTTGGGCTAGAAACTAAGACCTGCTGGAATGTTACCAGAATACAACCTCTAAATGAAATTCAGAGCTGTGAAGGCATGTTTCTTTGTAAAATGCTGCTATGTTTTTATTAATGTTGATAGAAACATTTTATAGTGTTATGACTCATTTAAACTATAATTGTAAACTACTATGACTAATTTTTTGTTAGCTTTTGAATATATCAATTTGGATGTGAACTAGACGTGGGCTTTACCCTCACAGAGCTTACACCATAGAGGGTGTCATAACTGGTGGATATTACAAGTCAGAAATTAAGTCGCTGAGGTTAGTAGTAAGGAAGAAGAATTGTTTCAAGAATATGAACCAGCATATTCAAAAGTCCTGAGGCAAGAGAAAACTAAAAGAAAACTACATTTACTAGAACAGAGAGATGAAGAAAAATGGTGTGAAATGACGCTAGGATTATTAGGAAGTGTCAATTAATGAAGGATTCTGTATTTCATTGAAGAATATTAATAGATATGTATTTAAAAAATGTAAAAATGGTGCATCAGTATACTGTAGTGGTTAATTGGCACTTCACTTTCTTTGGGGTATGCTGCTGTTGTTCAATTTCTGCAACTATATAGTCACTTGGTTAATTGCAAGAGAAAATTCATTGTATTATTTTTGTCTTTTGCTAGGCTCTGTGATGAGTAAAATAGAGTACCTGATTTCAAGAAGCAGCTTTAGTCTATGTGAAATAGTCCAGTTATTTGATCTATTATTTTGCTTTAAAAAAATACATTATATCATTCTTCATTTTTGTACAATGTGTGATTTCCCCATGAAGATCCCACCACCAGTTCACCCATGTACCATCAATCACCATAGTCCCTTGTTCTCTTCCGATGCCTGTGCGGATCCTTTCCCCTTCTCCATTATTTTGTATAACTAGAATCTTAAAACTTTACTACAAAGCACTGAGATAATTATGCCCAATTGCATTACAGTCATTTATTAAGTACCGAACGATCTGTGTTTTTTCAAAGGATTGGGAGATCCTGCTTGCTTTTATGTCGATGTGATTTTTATTTTAAATGGAATAATGATGGGATTATTCTTCGTATATGGCACATATCTGAGGTAAGCTTTCTGTTTTAAAAGATGTGTCAGTAGGCTTACAAGGATAAGTTGACATTTGTTGATTAAATGAAAAGGATAATTAGTGAGATTAGTTGATTAATGTAGGAACTTTTGTAGACTTATTTGGTATTTTCAGAAGCACAACCAATATCATGTAATCAGAAACTAAAGTTGTCACTGAAAATATTATCTTTATGATATCCCTCTTATTCTTGTGGGGATTTTAAAACTAATTTAGACTCCTTAAACTTTTAAGTGAAAATATTTCTAATTCGTGTGTAAAATTATAATGCTTATTAGAACACCAAAAGTGAATTGTCATTGACTTTTAAAAATTTATTATTATTATTATTTTGGTTGGCTTTAATAGCAAATTATTTCTAGTTTTGGTCTTTATATGTGAAATTAAGAAAATCATAAAAGAAGATGTATGAAACTTGTGGCAGACACACATACACACTCTCAATCCATATATAAACTTTTTTACTGCAGTCATATTGGCTAACATATATAGATTTCTGATAAACGACTTTTCACCGTAGTGACTGTATACTTAATATGAAACCCCAGATTCTCACCTTTCCTTCCCAGCCAATAATAGGTCCCCTCTACCTGTCCCACCACCCTCTGTAACAAATAAATATGTCTAATTTGTTTCACTTAGAATAAGCTCCTCAAGATTTCTTTCTTTCTTTTTTTATAGCTGGGTAGTATTCCATCGTGTTTATATACCACATCTTATTCTTACAGTCACCTGTCCTTAGGTAATTAGTTTGTATCTGAGCCATGTGAGTAGTGTTACAATGAACATAGTGTATATATGTCTGTTTTGATTAGCATTTTCATTTTCTTCAGGTAAATGCCTAGAAGTAGGATTGTAGGATCATAAGCAATACTATTTTCAACTCTTTGAGGAACCTCCATTCTGGTTTCCATAATGGCTATACAAATTTGCATTTCTGCCAACAGTCCACTAGGATGATTTTTGGTCTTCTGTATCCTTGTCAACACTTATTCTTGACTTTTTGATAATGTCCATTCTAAACCAGTATGAGGTGAAATATCATTGTGGTTTTGATTTGCATTCCCCTAGTGATAAGCAATATACAACATCTTTTCATGTTTGTATTTTGTTGGCCACCTGTATGTCGTCTTTGGTGAAAGGCCAATATAGATCCTCTCTCCATTTTCTAATCAGGTTGAGTTGGTTCTTTTGTTGATTGAGTTGTATGGTTTGTTTATATATTTTAACAATATGATATTGACATAACAATAGGAAAATATCTTATTGGAATAAAGTCCACATGCAGAAATGTACATTTCTAGATGCTTGCTGTATGACAGATCAAATGTTACAATCTGTGGGTTAGGGCAAGTATCTCTATAAGTAATGCTGGAATAACTGGAGGATCATATGAATCAAAATGAAGTTGCAACTATGTGAAAAATAAAGTTGGATTAAAAACTCAAATATAAAAGGCAAAAACTATAAAAAATACAAAAATCCAGCCAAACAGGAAAAATATTATAAAATGTGTGCTTATATGAAAAGTAGTCCCTTAGGACATTACAGAATGAAAAGACAAGTGATAAACTGAAAGAAGCTGTTTGCAAAGCATCTAACCAACACAGTATTTAGAAACTGCATTCATACACTTGACAGATTATTATATGACCACTATAACTAGGAGCACTATTCTTAGTATTATAGCTACAAAAACTTCCTGTCTTCATGGAATTTTTATTCCAGGGGATAGATAAGACCAAAAAAGATAGACAACCAAATAGAAAACTGACAAAATACTTATGAACAAACATTTCTTAGAAGAATTCCAAGTCCCAATAGACATATATAAAGCTGATCACATCATAAATAATCAGAAAAATACAAATTTAAATGACAATAAGGTACCATTTCATTTCTACTAGGTTCGCAGAAGGAAATTCATTCATGGTAGATGCCATTACTATAGAATAATGAAAATGAATGAGGTATATAGATATACTAACATGAATGAATCTTACACATATAATGTTGAATGAATGGACCCAAGCACAAAAATATTGCATACTTTGATTTGCATGAAGTTTAAAAGAGAATAAAATGACGGCTTGATATGTCTACAGAAGTGGCTATAATGCTCACAAAGGTTAGAATAGTGATTTTCTCAAGAAATGACAAATATTGACTCAGATTGCATTCAGTTTTCTATTTCAATGACATGATGATTGGAATTCACTTTGTTCACAAAACTATGTCTAAGTTTTTATGCATTTTTCTGTATGTATGCCATGTAAGAAAAATTATACAGTAATTTGACAGTATTTTAAAATAAAAGGATTACACTTTGAGGTTATATTGCCAGGCTTTAAAATGTTCTGTTTTTGAAAGTAGTTCATATTATCCTTTTTAAAACAGAAAAATATTCTACAATACTACAACTTTTAAAAATTAATATTTTTCATGGGGAAAGCTACTTCAGAGGTGATATATGTTCTCTAAGTTGGTCATACAGTTCTGGTTTAGCAAATTCATTATGAGGCTCCTACTTTTAAGGATACATAGATATTACAGATGTTTATAAGTGTGTTACCAAAGGGTAGGAGTTAAGTCTCAGCACTACCATGCTATTGCCACTGTGCCTGAGTTGGATCCTGGGAGCTGACCCACATGGTGCAGCAGACCTCTTCTGTCTCTGCTGCTGCTCCCCTCAGCAGTGTTTTTCAATAAATCTGCCATTTCTGCTCCCCCTTGTCTGGTGAATCCTCTCAGGCCCTGAGAACCTCTAGCCTATACCTCAGTTGTATGCATAAATAATTTTTTAAAAAGGCAGTCACTAGAAACTGTGAGGAAATTGGAAACAATAGTATGTAAGGAACAAAAATAGTTAGAATTTGGGGGGGGAAATGTATTTTGTATTCTTTTCCCTCCATCCACCACTGCACTGACCTGGAATGTTGACTTTCCCTCTTAACCCTGGTTAACAGTAACATGTTATTGTTATTCATACTTTGCTTGAAAACATCCCTTTACCTCTTTAATTATTACCATTGTTTTCTAGCCTGTATTCCTCCAGAGCAGTTATTGTTGTTACTATTTTGTCAAAACTTGATGGGATTTATCCACGTCCTACTGTGTGTGCAGCATTCATTCTTGTTTCTTATGCCTTCCTTCAGTTTCTTCCTTGTCAAAGTCCATCCTTTAGTGAACATTTACAATGGCAAATCACTTCACTCTTCTCTGTTTTATTGAACTTGCTTATCCTTTTTTTTTTTTCAGTTACTCAGTCACTATTTATTATCTTTCAGTTTGTAAAGCTATGAATATATTGAGGAATAAAAACAAAGAAAGGGCAACTTTAAGAAATGGTTATTAATCTTTGATGATATTAGTCCTTGATCTGATTTTTTTTGTATTCTATGTTGTTTCTTTGGTACTCAAAAGAATATCTGTAGAAATATAGACAGTTCAAAGTACTGGTAGATGCAACTACTAGATTTCTATCTTAGTCACTGAAATCCAATTGCAAAAGACAAAAAAATTTTCCTCACTTAGACTATGCAAAGAATGTAACACAGACTGGTATGCTGGTCTATTTGTTAAAAATTATTTTATGTTCACATCTTATATATTTTTTTGGAAAATGTTTTAATTATAATAATTATAAAATAAAGATACATTTTTATTCATGTACATTCAAGATTAAACCTACTACATTTTAATAGTGGAAATTTTTACCACTACTTGACATGATTTAGTACTATGATGCTTTAAAGTTTTACTTGTGAAAAATTCACTATATTTGATATTAATTTATGATTATATACTTTTTTATAGTGGGAATCAACTTGGAGGTCTAATTACAGTATTATGCTACTTTTTCAACCATGGAGAGGTTTGTTTTCTAGAAATAATTTTAAGACTTAGGAGGGGCTATTTAGGAATAAGGAAATATATTTATCAAAGCTATGTAATTACATACTACTTAGGTGTTTGAAAGACTTTAAAGAACCTTTTATTGTAAGTTGTTTTAATCATGTTAGCCCATATTTTATGTAATAATAGAATTTGTGACATGAAATGTCATGGTTGGTTTTTAGCATATATACATATATATGTACATGAATATTTCACATCTAGTGTGTAAAAATACTTATTTTGTAGAAAAAGGAAATACTGTACTTGTTGAATTCAGGCATTTTATATACACCATCTCATTTATTCCTACTGAAAGTTTTCAGGAAGTATTTGTTTCACTGACTGAAAAAAAATAGAAAGTTGACCTTTAGAAAGGTTACATTGCTTAACCAAGATTCCACATTTACTACCTGCTGAGGCTGAATTTCCATTCTATTTCAATAGGTTTTGTATTATAGTAGCTGCCTTTTAACAACACAAAATTCTGAATTCAAAATAGAAATTGCTAATTCAACCCTTTGGGATATGGTTCCAGCATATTGAAAATTATTTAGGGCATTGATAGATTCAGTGCAGTATTGAGTGCATAATGTATCAGATTCTGTTAGCTGCTGAGGATATGGCAGTGAAAAGTGAGAGAATTTGGACACAAAATATGTAATATATCATGACACCGGTTATATATAATACAGGGTAGGAGTTTTTATGACTATTGGAAATAGGTTAATTTAAGAATATTGGACAAGGAATCCTATGGTAACTACACGGGAGGGGAGGTCATACACTGTCAAAGCCCTAGCAAGTATGTAAAACATTGGTGCTTAGTAAAAAATTGCACATAACTTTTAAATATGATAAAAGAAATCAAACAAATGCATTGTCATTCAGTGGTGTGTTAATGTAAACACAAAACCTTTTACTCAGTGTGTTAACCTAATTATGAGTTTTGAGTTAACTTTCTTTTACATATTTTAATTTGTCTCCCAAGGAAGAAGAACAGAGCTTTTAACTTTAAGAATCTTGCAAGGTTGTAAGAGTTTAGATTATTTCTATAATCTCAGAATTCTTGGTGTAAAACTTTTATCATAATCTCCCATATATTTTAGAAATAATTACTTTAAAGATACATGTAAAAATGTGATTAACACTTTAGTGATTAGTGATTCTCAAATACTACTAGTGACTTTAGAAATTTGTAATTAACTAACTGTAGGGTTAGAGTGTGGTCCTGGTATTATAAAATATCATTGTTCCTATGACTACCAACTTGTTTGTCCTTTGAATGTCCTTATGCTTGGCTTGAAATGATATATATTTCACTTTTTATTAGACTTTCTAGTTAATAGTTCTTTACCTAACAGCTATGTAGAGAACTCTAAAAACTGGGAAGCTATTTAAAGCATTCAAAAATGAGTGAACTTAGTGCCAAAATAATTAAAATTAGTCTACCACAATTTTTAGATTAATAATATTTATTGCATAGCAACATAAAATGAAGTATGCATTTTATTGATTGCAGGCTACTCGTGTGATGTGGACACCACCTCTCCGAGAAAGTTTCTCATATCCATTTCTTGTACTTCAGATGTATATTTTAACTTTTATTCTGAGGTAATTTTTATTTATAAAGCCAAAATATATAAATTATAAATCATACATTAAGTTTAAATTTCTTAAAATGTACTTCGAGTATTAAGTTGTAACTTCCAAATTTATTTTTTTTGTTACTTTAAACTAGATTAATGAGTTAAGAAAATTAAATTACTATGTAAAAATTGAATTTTGGTTTTAGATAACTGCATTATGTTTGAATCAGTCAAAATGTATATATAGATTTACTCATATGTATTTTTGTTAAATAACCAAAAACTTGAGAAACTACTACTTTTTCCCCCCTCAAAGTTATGTACTCTCATTTTTTTTAAGCATGTATCTTTGATGGGGCATTAATGAATGTTTCATGAAAATAAATACTCCATGCACAGATGAATTTAGAAATGTTAGGTTCTATAAATAAAAGTTATATATATTCATTTATTTATGAATATTTCTGAACTACTCATGTTTTTAGTAGTTCAACAGAGTTTTTTTGGATACTTTTTTTAGTTGGAATTAATTTTCTCAGCATTTGAGAAATTTAAGATGTCTGAGAAATATTCACAGTAAAAGCCCTAAATAGCAGAATACTATAGGCTTTGTCATAGAAATGTTCATGAGATCTACCAAACTTGAGAAAGGGGAAGGCTTTACTGTCTTACTACCTACATGACAAATTTATTTTTGGATTGCATTTAGATTTGGAAATCTACTCCTTGTACAGATTTCTATCATATCAATATCATATCCAATCAAGTTAAATTGCTAGAGGGGTGTTTTTCTCCACATTCTTAAAAATCTTTTGGAGTCATACTAGTTCAAAGGAGTTTCATGGATTGAAATATGATAATTAAAACATTTAAAATTATATCCTTGAGTGTTTTTGCTAGATACCTTAAACAAAAGAATTTTTTTTCTGATAAAAGATAATTGAGTAACTTAAAATGCTTTATAAAAGTTTATACTTAAACACACACATTGGTTAATAGAATGCAGTTTTAATTTAACTTTTCCTATTCAAATTTGGATGAAAAACTTGGTAAAAGCTTTCACCTTTGAAAAGACAAGAATTTGCAATCTGGTTTATTTTTATCTATTTCAAATGAATATAAGAGATCCTCCATAGAATGCTGCTAAAGGGCCCTCTCTGATGGTGCAGTGGGTTAAAGTACAGCACTAGGAATTTATCTGCAGCCACTGCAGCATGAGTTCGATTGCCAGCCAGGGAGGTGATCCACATGGTATAGCAGACCTCTCCTGACCCACCCACTGCTCCCCTCAGCAGTGTATTTCAGTACATCTGCCTGTTCTGCTCACTTGCTCTCTGGTGGATTCTCTTATTCCCCCACACCTCTGTCCTGTAACCAAAGTTCTTGTATGCATGAATAAGTAAATCTTTTTTTCTTTTTTTTTTTTAAGATTTATTTATTTGTGCATAAAGAGCTGGGGTACAGGCCAGATGGACAGGGGCAGTAAGAGGATTCACCAGAGACAGAATGGGGAGCAGAAGAGGCAAATTGATGAAATACACTGCTGAGGGGAGCAGCAGGAGGGTCAGGAGAGGTCTGCCACACCATGTGGTCACCTCCTGGGCAGGCAGGGGTTGGGGTGAAGTGGGTTTAGCTTCTTAGTGCTTTAACCCACTGTGCCACCAGGGAGTGTCCTAAGTAAGTAAATTAAAAAAAAATTAAAAAAATAAAATGCTGCTAAAGTAAGCAGCAATAACCCTGAGAAATTAACCTTTTTTTTTTAATTAAAAAATACTGCACTGTGAAAGTTTTTATAATTGGTGCAACAAATTATAATGTTTCAATAGCAGTTTACAAAGCTTAATAGTAGATATTGAAAAGAGTGGGGAGAGCCATGTACACCTGTGAAATTGTGAAAGCTATCTGATTTAGTTAATACTGCAAATCTATACAAACCAAGATTCAGATAATTTCTTGAATCTTAACATTATTAACTCAGTTCATCTGCTAAGGTCAACAAGGGAAATCCAAAATACTCGTTTTTTCGTTTATTCAAAAAAGAACAATCTCTTCCCTAGCTTTTCAGTCCAAAATTGATATTATAATGTAAGCAAGATATTTCTTCCATTGTCAACATTTATGGCATGACATGGTCTGAGATCCACTTGGGTTTAAAGTTGTATAGCACTAGTATACAAAATAATCTCCAAAGTTAAAGGCCACAGAGGCTAGAAGTGACTCTGAAAAATCCAAGTTGTCTTTCTTAGCGACCAGAGCAAAACATCCAACCATAGTAAAAGTCTCACCTAAAAAGTGTAGCCCTTTTGTGAATTTTACCTCAAAAAAAAAAAAAATGTAGCCCCAAAGAAATAGCTCTGAAAAAAGAGGGGAAAATATAACTCAAAACACATGAAAGCCAATGTGAATATAGGTTCAAAAGTTGTATAACTAAGTACTTAGTGAATATATTTTATAATAATATTACTAAACAATATAAACATCTTATGTTTTCTTTTAAAAGTTTATATACCTTTGTAAAAGGATTTCTCAACATTTAATCCACCTTTTAAAAACAGTGACAGTTTTAATATTTACACAAAATGTTTGCATTTCTTTTTACACACTCTAAAAGATACTAAAGTTTTCAGTGGCAGAAAGTGTTGGTTATTCATATATCTCCTAACTGCACATTAATCACTTAATCTTGAATATGCAGTGATTGAACTATATTTAAGAATTATTTTTTAGGCAGTTGTTTTACAATTGTTTTCTTAAAATTTTCTCATAATTGTTAACTTATTATGCTTCACCAGAATGTGTACTTAATTGTTTTTGAAACATAGAAATGATGTATATAGAAGCTGTTGCTGCCCTGAAATGCTCAATATCATGAAGTATGCAGGGTCATTTCAGTTCTACCATCCGACCTAGGTGGCATATTAAATTTGCAATATACGTAAAGGAAAAATAAACTTTCATGTGCAAAGTGTTTTATTTGCTAGTAAACTAGATATAGTATTTCATTTCAAATTCATAATTTTGATTGTGCTAGGTATTTTTATAATTCAAGTATTGTAAGTGTGTTTTATGAGCTTTTAAAGAATTATATTTTGTTTATATCAAAGGTAAGAAATCATTAGGTTTTATTATTTTGCAATTAATCTTTCAGTTTAGTATTAGGTTATTTTTTATTGTAAAACTTATTGGTATAAATTCTCTCCATTAAGGACCCCGAGTTTTGGTAGAAGGCGTTTTATTGCTCTCTGTCTCTCCAATGTTGCTTTTATGCTTCCTTGGCAGTTTGCTCAGTTTATACTTTTTACACAGGTAAGATGACTCTAGAGTAATTTAAGTTGAATACAAGATATCCTTGGTTATATCTATAGAAATTTTAAAATATGTGTCCCCAAAGATTTTCAACTATGAAATAATTATAAAGTTTACACAAAGTGTGATTTTAAAAAACATATTGAATTCTACTTTGAATGCAGTTAGGTAGGCAAGTACTGATGATCAAAGATATTTTCTGTTGTTTAATTCACAGTTTTTCTTGTTGGTGTTTGTGATCATTTCTATAGTTGTATGTATTTCTGTTACTTTCATATTCATTTTGGGTGCTGATGAAACCATTTAGATAGCCCCGTGGGTACTTTTGATATCTCTTGTAATGCTTTTTATCCATTTAAAACGTACCAGATTTTTGGCTTTCTCTTTTTTCCTTCTTTATTAAAGTGGCATAAGTAAATTTAAGGTGTAAAATGTATTGATGTTGATACATTTTTATAGTGCAGTGTAACTACCCACCATAGTGTACTCACCTCTATTAAGTCTAGTAATTATCATTTCCTCTTTGTGTTGAGAATATGTAAGAGCTAATCTCTTAGCAATGCTTAAGTATGTATTACTAGTCAGTAATTATATATATTATATGTTATAGTCTAATCATTTATATTGTCTGTCTGATCTCCAGAAAGTTTTCATCTTCTAGCTGCAGTTATTTACATCTCATTGTCCTACCGCTCCCCTCCCTGCCATCCATACCCTGTTAACTGCCATTCTGCTTTTAGTTTCTAGGAGTTTGGCCTTTAGAGATTACATATATAAATGATACAGTATTTGCCTTTCTCTGATTTAGTCTCACTTTAGTATCAGTTTCTGTTTGGTTCTTTTTAATGATTTCTATCTGTAGATGCAAGGCAGGGGGCCTCCCAGCACCCCGTGAATTTCTACAGACCCTAACCTGTTTTCTAGGTGAAGTCCTTGTCTGACAGCACTGACTCTCACTTCCACATCAGGAGCATGCACAAGAAACTTGCTGCAGAGTTGGTGGGGGCGTAGTGGGGGAGAGGGGTGGGCTTAGTATTCAGGAGGTACCCACTTGCCAGTTGGGCGTGGAGTGGGAATCTCCAGGAGGTTTTTCTAAGCAACTAGTAGCTAGATTTCCTGAGAGGGAGGAGGAGGGGAGAGGAAAAAGAGGAGACCATGTGAAGTCATGGATGTTTCATGATAAAATCGACCTGGACCCCATGCTTTCATTTATGAGTAGTACCTCTCTTTTATATATTCTCACTTCTGAAAAAGCTAGTTGAGGCATAAAGAATTTCAACATCAACTAAATGCTGTCTGCAAACTTGCCTTCTTCTAGAATTTTGTTGAGGGGGATCCACAAATTCAGAATTATCTTGCTTGCGGGATGTTTGACTTTTTGAGCGGCTTTTTTGGTCTTGTCTTGCCAGTTTATCTCCTCTAATGTGCTAGCCAAGTAGTCTGGTATCAAAGCGAACTTATCTGCAGAACTCTCAGGAGGGTTAGAGGTAGGGGCAAGTGTGGCCTGAGCCAGAGAACACAGGTTGAAAATTAGCCAAACTTGGAAGTACCCCAGAAGTCCCCACAGAGAAATCCCCTTTCACTCTACCTCTATCATGCTGCCTTTCTTTTATAGTCGGCCAGGAGCTTGGGTGCCCTGCATTCTCTGGTCAAACCCTCTGCCTAGCGTGAGCGCCACTCTTCCGTTTGCACATCTGGCTCCTCCTTTTGTCTTTACATACAGCTTTTACTAAATTTCCTCATCTCTTTCTGATATGTAAAGAATATGTTCTATCTTTTCATTATATGCTTACATATCTATGTATTCATGTATTTTTCCTTCCTTTGTCATTTTATGTGTTCTTCTAGATGTCTCTTTCACATCTTTGATTGTGTTTAATCTAATTTTATACCTGTCTTTGCCTTCTTAATATTAACTATTGTAATAGTTATACATTTTCAACTTAGTTCTTTTTTCTGACTTATGTGATTTTGTAATTCTCAATCATAACTTATTTCCTTGTACTTGTCAAGCATGAAGTCTGTGTCTGATGACATCAAAATTCAGTTTTTGAATGGCCTACAAAATATAATATTTACTATTTGGCTTTTACATAGAATCTCTAAGGATCTGTTTCAGCTGTCTTAGTGATCACACCTTATTGCCTTCTGTATCTGCATTATTTTTGATGTGGTGTTGAACATTATTTATGAAAAATTACAGAGTTAATTTGAAGGACTTGTTCCAGGGAAAATTAAATTTATTTTCAGCAGGCAATGAAAGTACTAATAATGTTGAATTAACCTCATGCAGCCAGACATTGAGATAACTCAAAGGTCAGCTTCAGTCATTGTGAGGGCTGCTTCATTTCTTGTTTACTATTTAAGCATGGCAGTTTGAAACCCCAAAGTTTGGGGACTTATCAGGGATCTTGTTCTTAGTGGGCAGCTGCTTCTCAACTGCCTCTCACAGGGCATGCATTCGGCAGATGCCGCTGAGAGAACAGGGACCCCACACGTCATGCTCGTCACAGTCGACTTCATATTTTCTCTGATCTTAGCTTCCTACTTCCTTGTTACCTTGTTGGTTATCTGTGACTTTCATTCAGGTATTATCTTTTTAGCTATTCTAGTTCTCACCAAGAAAGAAGGCGAATTCACATTACTTTGACTTATTATTGGATATATAGTTAAATAATAATATGTAGTTGTATAAATATTATGTGATTATATGATATTCTTCATATCTATTTTGCTTATGAATAATGATGTTTATTTTTTATATTTTTTCACTATTTAAAAAATATTTTTATTTCAGATAGCTTCATTATTTCCCATGTATGTTGTGGGGTACATTGAACCAAACAAATTTCAGAAGATCATATATATGAACATGGTAATGTTTTGAATATTTCTAAGATAAATATTATAAAAATATCCTCAGGGTTTATAAAAGAAAACTGATTCTGTTTTTTGGGATATCTCCTCTCTAGCAATATATACTCTATTTTATATAGATAATGTACAGAAGGAAAAGTGTTAAATATGTTTTATAAATAGCCATATTAAAGTAGATTATATATTCAGACTACATATTTTGTACTATCTAAAATTTTGGTGTTCTTTCTTGTTTTACTTATTGTTATTACTTTTGAAATTATCTTCTCCCTGAAACCTGAGATTTTTAGCACTGCATGACTATGACAGTTTGTAAATTTTATATTTTTGCACTTTTGTTTTTATCTTAATTTCCAAAAACATATCCTATAAAATGTAAAATAAATATCTTTAGATAAGAGCACCAAAATAAAGCTCTATTAGTGATAGAAGTCCTAGCAAAAGTAAGATTTGAAAGAGATACTTACAAGTAAGTCTTTCTTACTCTATTTTTCAATAAATAGCAACACTTTTTTTCCTTTTTTCCATTTACCAAGTAGCAAATATAAGGAAAAAAAATTGAATTTTGCTAGATAAAATTTATGTTGGTAAAAGTACTTAGAACCAAACAGTATGTTGGAATTCTATTATTATTATTTGTCCATAGGCTACCTAATAATGTTTTTAAATTAATGAATTAATATATACTTTTCACCATTGTTCATTTTTATACAATGTATGTTTTCTCCTCTCAAGTGTAGTACCCATAGAATATCTACCAACAATTCACTTGTGCCATCAGCATAGTCTCTTACACTCTTTGCTACCCTGTTTTGATCTCTTTCCCTTCCCACCCCTTGCAGAATGTTTCTGATTTAGAGTTGCCTGTTAATTTTGGTTTTTTATTTATTGTTATTATTTTCTCCTAACCCCTTATTTGGCTCTCCTATATTCCTCCTATAAGTGAAGCTATCTAGTGTTTATCTTTTTTCTTCTGGCTTATTTCACTGAGGATAATCCCTTCTAGTTCCATCCATGTTGCTGCAAACAGCATGTGTTTATCTTTTTGATTGCTGAGTAGTATTCCACTGTGTAAATATACCACATCTTCTTGATTCAGTCATCTATTTTGCGGCATTTGGTTTGTTTCCATGTCTTACCTATTGCAAATAGTACTGCAATAAACACAGGGAAGCAGATAGCCTTTTAAATTAATGTTTTTTTTAAAGATTTATTTATTTGTGCATACAGAACTGGGGTACAGGCCAGAGACTCAGGGGTGGTGAAAGACTTCACCAGAGACAGAGTGGGGAGCAGAACAGGCAGATCGATGAAGTACACTGCTGAGGGGGTTAGCAGGCGGGTCAGGAGAAGTCTGCCACACCATGTGGACCACCTCCGGGGCTGGTGGGAATTGAACTCATGCGGAAGTGGTTTCAGCTTCTTAGTGCAGTGCTTTAACCCGCTGCACCACCAGGGAGGGCCTTAAATTAATGTTTTTGTGTTCTTGGGTAGATTCTTAGGAGTGGAGTTGCTGGGTCATATGGTAGCCTCATTTTTTTAATAGTCTGAGGAACCTCCACAGAACTTTATCTAGTGGTTGGACCAGTTTGCATTCCCACAACCAGTTTAGGAGAGTTACTTTTTTCCTTGCCAACATTTGTTGTTGCTAGTTTTTTGTTTTGTTTTGTTTTGTTTTTATTATGTACCATTCTCACTGGTGTAAGGTGATATCTCACTCTGTTTTTGATTTGCATTTCCTTATTATAAGGGATGTTGAATATTTTTTTCATATACCCATTGGCCATTTGTATTCCTTTTTGAAGAAGTGTCTGTTTAGCTCTTCTGTACATATTTTTAATGGATTGTTTATTTTGTTTCTGTTGAGTTTAAGCTCTTTGTAAATCTTTGTGATCAGTACCATTTCAGTTACATGGTATGCAAAAATTTTCTACCAGTCAGTAAGGTGTCCCTTTGTTTTGGTTAAGGTCTCTTTTGCTGGTCAGAAGCTTTTTAGTTTGATGTAATACCAACTGTTTATTTTTTCCTTCACTTTCTTTGCTTTGGGAGATGATTCCTTAAAGATGCTACTGAGATGCATGTCATGTAATGTATATCCTATATATTTTATAGTCTCAGGTCTTATGTCAAATTCTTTTATCTATTTTGAGTTTGTGTTTGTGTGTAATGTGAGGTCATAGTCTATTTTCATTCTTTTGCATGTGGTTGTCCAGTTTTTCCAGCACCATTTATTGAATAAACTGTCCTTATTCCAGTGCATCTTCTAGCTCCTTTGTCAGAGCCTAGTTGACCGTATATGTGTGACTTTATTTATGGGTTTGCTTTTTGATTCCATTGGTCTGTGTGTCTGTTTCTGGTCCAGTACCATACTGTTGTAAGTACTGTGGCTTTGTAGTATAGTTTGAAGACTGGGAGCATGATACATCTTTCTCCTTCTTTTTAGTCAAGAGAGCTTTTGCCATTTGAGGTTTTGTTGTGGCTTCATCAATATTTGTTTTATTTCTTTGAAGAATGTCATTGAGATTTTTATCAAGATTGCATTGAATCTGTAAATTGCTTTTAGTAGGATTGGCATTTTAATAATGTTAATTCTCCCAATCCATGAGCCAGGAATATTTCTTTCCATTTCTTTGTGTCTTCTATTTTTTTTTTTAACAATGTTTTAGAACTTTCTTTGTATTGAAACTCACTGCCTTTTTTAGGTTTATTCCTAAATACTAGATTTTTTTTCTTTTAATTGTAAATGGGATGGTTTCCTCGGTTTTCTCTTCAGATTGATTGTATATAGGAAGGCAGATTTTTGTGTATTGGCTTTGTATCCTGCTACCTTACTAAATGGGGTTCTTATTTTAATTAGCTTTCCAGTGTTTCTTAATGTTTATGCACACAGACTTTATATTAGATATGACACGAAGCTATATATGCCTATAGAGAAGGTAGGAATTGTGCTATGTATCTAGTAACTATAAAATGTATTTCTTTTCATTTTTCAGATTTCAGTTCTCCTCTGTTTTGTGTTGATGTTTGGAAATCCAATGTATTTATCTTCTTATTATTCTTCATCTTTGTTAATGACATGGGTAAGTGTTAAACTCGTGATTTTTTTTAACCTGTCAACTAGCAGATTTACTTACCTAATATAAGTTAGGAGAATAAATAGGACCCGTTCTTAATTATTACTCACATCAAAAAGTTGTTCCCAAGTAAAGTTCTTTTTCTATATTACCCCCTGAGAAATAATACAGTACAAAGTTTGCCTTTTCTAATAGTACCTGAGTAAATACTTTTCAAAATAACCATAGGCTATATAAGACTTATTTTTAAAATATGCCTTAATTTATGATAAAAAATTAGCTATTTCCTTCCAAGTCACTTCAGTAGACTAAATACTTATTGTCGTGACACTGCCATTGCCCAAAGTACTTTTGGAATTCCTCTGAATTGCCTTCACAGACTGTGACACATTCTTTTGAATATCCTCAGTGGTGGCAAATCTTCGTCTATCAAGGGTGGATTTGATTTTTGGAAACAACCAAAGTCTTGTGAATAAGGTGGGTGATTGAGCTGGGTAATATAGATCTTGATCCAAATATAGTGTGACAATAAAGTAATAAAACCAATTTTCTTGCATCTATTACTAAATTACCTCTGGAGGCAGTTTAGAAAGAGGAGTTCCAAACTATTTTGAGCAATGGCAGCATAATTGATATAAGCATAACATCTCCTCATGTGAGTTATGTTTATGGCACAGCAGACATTTGGATATAAATTTGGAATAGTTAGGTAAATTTGTTTTGTTACTTTATGTCACACTTTTGATATTAATAAACCAGAACCTGGAATGTTCTTCTGGCAGAATGTTCCTGGCATATTCTTTTCCCACAATAATCAGAAATTATACCAACCATAATGATAGCAAATGTAGTACTTTTCTATGTATGGTGCATTCACTGAGTCTTTTGAAATTGTCCTTACTTTTGAACATTTTTGTTTCTTATTCTTTTTCTTGCTTCCAGTAAGTAATCCCTTCTCTTTCTCTCTCCCAAAACTATGGCTTATTCTTTTCAATATTTTGTTAAAATTTTTAAATGTAAAAAAAATTTTTTTAAATGTTATAATGGAGAACATATAATAGTTTGCTTATTGACTTTCTTTTATGAAAACTTTAATTTTAAAATATAGCACAATTTTGTGTATTGACTTAATATAAACTAGTACTGACAGGTTCTGATGAATGAAATATTATTTAGCAAAAATTGTCTGATTTATAATATGTTAATTAGTGGATCTAATATTTGGACAAGATTAAGTTAATCCCATATTTACTGCCATATTTATTAATTTAATATAAGGCTTGCAAAATGGTGCTATTCCAGCTGCTCATTATTATAGTTCATATAGCAAATGTGAAGTACATGTTCAAGTAGAAGTAATTTGAAAGAGCTAAGGAAAGATCCAAAGAATTAATAACCAAAATTTTTTCAAAGTTGATGAAAATTATAAACTCAAGAGATGAAGAATTTAAATGAAACCCAACTACAATAAATATAAAGAAAGTTACAGTCAGGTACATTATTACCATATTGTTCAAAGTCAGAGATAAAGAAAAAATCCTGAGACCAATCAGAAAAATAAAACATGTTATGCATAGAAGAACAAAGGGTGAAGATGTTCACAGATTTCTCTAAGAAAATTTTGCAAGCAAATAAGGACAGTCAAGTAACATTGTTAAAACAAGAAAGAAAAATACTGTCAATATACAGTCTTTACCCATTAAATGTATCTCTTAAAACTAAAACACTTTGTAATCAGCAGATTTGCTTCTGGATACAGAATTGTTCTTCAGATGGAAGAGTCATGTTATTAGATATTAATCTGGCTCTACACCAATGAAGGACTCTGGAAATGGTAGATAAAAGTAATATAGAAAATGTCCCTGAATTTTGTGATATGTTTGAACTCTGAGGGTATTATGCTGTGTAAAATAATTGACACAGAGACAGACTAATACTGTCTGCATCTTTTAAAATTTCAGCAATGTTTTGTAGTTTTTACTGTATGTTTTTCTCTTTGGTAAAGTTTACTCTTAATATTTTATTCTTTTTCATACTATACTATTGTAAGTGGGATTGTTTTCTTAATTTCCTTTTCAAACAGTTCATTATTAATGTATATATGCAACAGATATTTAATGTTGATTTTGTGTTCTGCTAATTTGCTAAATCCACTTAGTAGTTGTGTATATGTATAATCTTTCATATTTCCTAAATATAAGATCATGTCATCTATAAACAGAGATATTGTTACTTCTTCTTTATATATTTTTTAAAGATTTATTTATTTACGTGTACAAGAACTGGGGTACAGGCCAGAGGTGCAGGGGGTGAGAGAGTTCACCAGAGACAGAGAAGGGAACAGAACAAGCAGATCACTTGTTCTGCTGAGGGGAGCAGTGAGTGAGACAGGAGAGGTCTGCTGTAACATGTGGTCACCAACTTGGCTGGGGATTGAACTTGTGCTGCAGTAGCAGCAGAGAGCTTCATAGTGTTGCACTTTAACCTGTTGTGCCACCAGGGAATTCCCTTCTTTACAATATTTTTATGCCTCGTAGCTATTTTTCTTGCCTAAATACTGTAGCTTGAGTTTCCAGTACTGTATTGAATAGAAGTAGTAAAGTTGGCATCCTTGCCTTGTTTTCCTAATTTTAGAGGAAAAACTTTCAGATTTTCACTACTTTTCATGATGTTAGCTCTGGCATTTTCATATCATTTTTATATGACCTTTCCATGATGGTTTTCCTCGCCCTAGTTTGTTGAATTTTTATCAAGAAAGGCTATTGAATTTTATCAAATGCTTTTCTGCATCTATTGATATGTGATTTTTGTTCTTCATTCTGCTAATGTAATATATTCCATTAACTGGTTTGTATATATTGAACCATTCTAGCATTACAAAGATAAATTTCACTTAATCTTGGAATACAAGTGCTCTTGACTTAGAATCATGTCTTATAAAATATGTTTGGATTTGTTTCTTCTTTTCTGATGTTTTAGAAGAGTTTTGGCAATAATTCCTATGTAAATGTCCAATAGAATTCACCTGAAGATTTCTGGCTGTAGTCTTTTCTTCAGTGGTTTCGATTGCTTATTCAATATCCTTAATAGTTACTGGTCTGTTTTGATTTTTTACTTCTTCATGTTTCTATCTTGGTAGTTATGTGTTTCTAGGATTATATTCAATTTTTACATTTTTTAATTTGTTGGGATATACTTGTTCATAGTAACCTCATATAGTCCATTTTGCTTGGGTTTTGTTGTTCCATATGGGAATATAAAAATATGGTTTCTGTCTTTACAACTTCATCAGAAGCAGAAGTTCAGTCCTGAATGATTTTAATTATTTAACTTATTTTTTGGTTGAAACACTGGGATACTTATAATAAATATGCAAAAATTTATACTTAGAAAACTTAACTGACTGTCTTTCTTTCCACCCCATTTTGTCCATCTTTCATTTTGCCTTGGACTTATTTATTTATTTATTTATTTTAAAGATTTATTTATTTATTCGTACAGAACTGGGGTACAGGCCAGAGTTGCGGAGGGTGAGAGGATTCACCAGAGACAGAGCGGGGTTCAGAACAGGCAGATCAACGAAGTACACTGCTGAGGAGAGCAGCGGGCGGGTCAGGAGAGGTCTGCCTTGCCATGTGGTCACCTCCGGGGCAGTAGGGATCGAACATATGCAGAATTGGCTTTAGCTTCTTAGTGCAGTGCTTTAACCCGCTGCGCCACCAGGGAGGGCCCGGACTTATTTTTTATAAGTAATAAATAGCACTTTCTAAAATTTACCTATTTTGTTGTTTCTCTCTTTTGATTAAATTATCTTATATGCATTCTAAACATTCCTTTTCTTACATATGTTAAAATAATGTGCTAGAGGTAGACTTTTGCACATTGACTAAAACATCGATGCTGGCTATCATTTCATATCAGTTCATAGAATTCATCCTCATTCCTTTTTTTTTTTTTTTTTAAAGATTTATTTGTGCATACAGAACTGGGGTAGGGGCCAGAGGTGCAGGGGCATCAAGAGGATTGACCAGAGACAGAGTGGGGTGCAGAACAGGCAGATTGTCGAAGTACCCTGCTGATGGGAGCAGTGGCCGGGTCAGGAGAGGTCTGCCGCGCCATGTGGATCACCTCCGGGGTGGTAGGGATCGAACATATGCAGAAGTGGCTTTAGCTTCTTAATGCTGTGCTTTAAACCGCTGCACCACCAGGGAGGGCCTCATCCTCATTCCTTTTTATAGTTTCAGTGTATTCCTAGGTTACTGATACTTAGATAATTCAACTGCTATGATTTTTTAATTTGGGGGTAAATATAAGTTGTTTTTTGTATTTATCTTATATGAACAACATATTTTTCATTTACATAATCTAGTATCTTTATATTTCCTTATTGTTGGAAGAACAGAAATTCTGCCTTTCCTCGGGAATTCCTGTACCAACTTGTTGATGATGCACATTTCTACCCCAAATCTAAATAATACATAAATCTAAGATTTCAGGGTTTTTTTATGGGAAACTTTTCTCCCATCCTAAATTTGAGAATAAGCAAATGATTTATGCGCTTGTAGAGATGTTAGAAAGAGTATACATAGTTGCTGAGTATTTTTTGTCAGTTCAGGTTGCTATAACAAAACTCTACAGTCTGGTTGACAAAAACAGAATCTTATCTCACTATTCTAGAGGCTGTGAAGTTCTCTAGATTAAGGTGCCAGCTGATCTGGTTCTTGGTGAGGACTTTCTTGTTTTGTGGACAGATGTATTCACTGTATCCTCATATGATGGAGAAAGATATCAATTTTCTTATGTCTTTTCTTATAAGGGCACTAATGTCATTCATTATATCATACAAATGCCCTATCTCAAAATTTATCATTTTGGGAATTAGAACTTCAGCACATGAATTTGGTAGGACATGTGCACGTAGTCACTTGTACTGAAAGTCTGGTTTTTGCATGAATCTCAGTTTCAATTTCTTGCCTTTCATAATCCCAAGCCCTCTTCTGCTGTCCTCCTTTTTAATTCAGATCCATTATTGGAAGTTCTTTCTACAGTCCTGCCAGTTTTTCTCCTAATTAATGTTTCAGGGTTTTTTTATTTTATATCATCTTTTTATCTTTGGCACCTTTCAAGTTCCTTTTATTTCTTATAGTTTCCATTAGACATCTTTTAAAAACATTCAAAACTATTTTATTTGGGAGTTTAGCGAGGAAAGATTTACATGTTTATTTAAATTAGCCACTAATTACCCTGGGTTACATATCTACACTTGTGTGGATGTGCCTCCCAGATGCCTTACACCTCCTCAAGAAAATTCCATGCTTAAGGCATCCCAGGGAGCTTAGGGAGGAGTTAACTTGAAACTAGAGGCAATGTTTTCACACATAAAATATTAGTTCTCAATCTAAGGAAATTTTCTGTGCTCAAATTTTGAAAAATTGACAGTTTGAAAGGAAAATGGTCCATGTTATACACAATGGAAGAGAGCCTCCATGTAATTTTTGAAATGTATCATTCACATAAAAGATAAATGTTAATTATTTTCTTTTGATATCATATGCATTTCAGGTGATTATTCTAAAGAGAAACAAAATTCAAAGATTGGGAGTGTCTGAACTCAACTTTTGGGTAAGGTTCTACATGTTAAATACTTTTTTTATTTCTAGAAGTTGCATATAGATAATAAAAACTTTGATTGACTTACAGTTACATAAGGTATGGAATAGTCCTTAGTAACACCTACAAGTCATTTTAAAGAAATTAGTTTTTTCAACTAATAGAATAAGTTGCCAGCTTCTCAGCACTTTGAGACGCATTCTCCCATTCCTATGGTGAAAATATAGATATATTTGTGCACCTAAGTTAATTGAGTGCAATGACCCCTCTAACACATGATTTTTATTTTTACTTCAGAAAAGTTAGGCAATGTTTGTTTTCTTTTTAAAGGATCAAACCAAGAAATCAACAGAAAATTCAAAGTTTTCATTCAGTAACTAAATTTAAAAGAAACTCAGAATTTCAATCACAACTATTGAAAAATAACAACAAATGGAACAGTGTCCAGGGATGTAGAGAATTCTGCCAAAGCTGTGCTCAGGCAAAAATTTACTATTTTAAAGATTTTCTGTTTTAGGTTGCATAGGAGAAAAATTAAAATTAAGATTTACAAAAATTCTACAGATAGAAAAGTTGTAATATGACAAATGTTTGGACATATTGATGATTTAAGATTGATATAATCAAAATGATGCTAGAAGGGTGATATGGGCAGAGGAACTATGGGTATTATAATGATATAAGAACTAAAATTTTAATTAATAAAATATGCTAAAAGGAAGAATAAATGGCAATCATTTAAACAACACAGAAGATATTCAGGCTTTTTCTAGCTTTTTAAAAATAGAAATAGAAAAAAATATCCCAACATGTTACTTCAAATAATTATTTAATTTTTATAGAATAGGTATTATATATTGCATATTGTACTCTGTTATAACTGGGAAATGTGAAGACAAGGAGGTTCTTGTCTTTTTACATTGACCAGTAGTAAAATAGTTACATAGAAAAAATGTCAGAGGATTGATCAAAATCTAATTTTAGTATTTTTAACCATCTCAATTAGAAGATATTTTGCAAGCCTAGATAGCATAAATAGAGCTATCTTTAGGTCCTATATACTATTAGCAAAGATAAATATTTATAACATAAATCCTAAGCAAAAATACTTTTGATCTATGTGATTAACTTCATAGTTTGTTGTTTTTGTTTTTTTCCATTAGTAGCATACTCATTGCTTAAACAGAAATTCCAGTTTTTGGTTGCAAGGTAACTTAAGGTAACTAAGGTAACTAACTTCAACTTTGTTGAACTTAGCTTATGATGAAATTTTCTCAAAATACCAGGGAGATTCTGTGTGTCAGAGGGCTGAGAATCCTTACAAGAAGTGAAATGGAATCTTACTGGAAATGTTAAAGTAAATATTGACTTCAGGCAGGGACAATATGAGAAAGGCTATTCTTATGAACATAGACTTAGAATTTCATCTAGATTAAATACTTTGTGAGAATACGGATATAAAAGAAAAGACTTAGTAATTCAAGAAGAAACATTATAAAATACATTCTGAACAAATTGAGTTCATTCTAGAAATTTAGAGATATTGTTTCTGGAAAATGCATAAATGCATAAAACATCACAGTAACAGATTAAAGAAGAAATATGATCATGTCAATAGGGGCAGAAAAAGCATTGATAAGATACACACTCCATTTATAATTAAAAACCTTCCCCAAAATGAGGATAGAAGCAATATCCTTCAACATAATAAAGACCAGACATGACAAGCCTACAGCTAACATCATACACAATGGTAAAAACCTGAAAGCTTTTTCCCTCTAAGATTGGGTACAAGAAAGATTTCTCTTTTCACCAGTACTATTCAACACAGTATCAGAAGTCCTACCTAGTGCAATTAGGTAAGTGAAAGCTATAAAAGGAATGCAATTTGGGAAAGATAATCCCATTTTTCTTTATGGGAAATTGAGAAATAGCTTTTCAAAAATTGCTTTATATTTAGGATATAGAAAACTATAGTGTTGTGTACTTTATAGCAGTGTCATTGGTTTCAATTCTTTGCCTTTACACAAAATTCTCAAGAGGAATATTCTGTTTTTTAGACATCATCACTACTAAGCTTCACATGATTAAAATTTTCTTATGCCATTTATTGAATATTTAAATCAGACAATTTGCAAGTTGTTGTTACTAATATCTACACTTTATTTTCTAGCTAATTCAAGGTTTAGCTTGGTTGTCTGGAACAATCATTTTGAAATTTCTGACATCTAAAATCTTAGGCGTTTCAGACCATGTAAGTACTTTCTACTAAAACATAAAAACTCCTATAAATATGTAGTTGGATGAAAAAACTTCCATTTTCACCTGTTCATTATTTAGAAGTTGAATGCCTTCTTCATTATCCCTTCCCCTCTGATCAGCACTACATTATTTTTGTTGCAATTTCTTAGCTCATTTCCTTATTTATGTCCCACAAATGTCAGAAACCATTCAGTAATTCTTTCACTTTGTGACATTTTGCTTAGCATAATCACCTCAAGGTCTGTTCATGTTACCACAAAGGCAAGATGACAGTGTCTTTTTTGGTGACAGTGTCTGAATTTTGGTGTGGACCTCTCTCAGAGAAAGCCCCACCTAAGTGCAAGAAATTCTCACAGGTGTCAGGTGGGAATTGACCGGCAAATAGGCAGAAGAAACAGACACATGGTGTTTTTCTTGTCTTTGGCAAGTACATTGTATGAAAAACCGTAATTTCATTTCATTGAAAAAACATTGACAAAACTGATCAGCCTGTTGGTACTACATTTTAAATTAACATGTACTAACATAATGTTGTACATTATAATTTACATACTATATTTGGTGATGCCATAATTTTAATAAACCAAAGCTTTTTAGTGGCAATACTAATTTTATTTCTTTAAACCAGGATAATTTATATTGATTATTACAAAAAGGGGGAAATGCCAACAAGTAGCTAACTGAGCATTTACTTCAGGAATGAAACTTCATCATACTATTGTATAGGTTTAGAATTACCTAATCCAACATTCAGAATTGACTGAAGGTTCTGAGTGGGCGTTTTTTCGAATATTTACTAAACCGGATTAGGTTGGGTTTGTTTTACAAATTAAGAAGAAAGCACAAGTAGTTCTTGTTGCTCCTGAGTTTAATATAAATCCTGAGCACACTGCAAGGAACAGAAAGCTTTGATTCCATTAAAAAATGTGGTCTTTTTTTGAAACCTCCTTTATGAAGTCTCTACATATTTGAGCAAACCTGAATGGGCAGCCGCCCCTGACTTGGAGTAAGTGACTCCAGTGGTGCCTGCTCTTTCCCCACCAGACAACCAGGTCTCAGGCTCACGTGAGAACCAGGAAGCTCCCAGATTGCGATGGGTGCAATCTATCAGCAAGCGCTAGAATTTTTAATGTAGAGAGACAGACATGACAGCATAACTATTTATGGCAAAAGAATCGGAAGGAATAGTGTTATAAATATCAAAATGTTTTTTCTCATCACAAATTCTCAATGTTCTTCCAAAAACCAGATTCTGTTCCTCCAGTAGGTGGTGATGTGGTTCTAGTTTTGGGGTTTTGTTTTTGAGGCTCTTGAGTGTATGTGGAAAGAAGACTTCCTTGTTAGTTTCCTTCAGCCACCATCTTGATGGGAGGAGAGTCAGTCTAGGCCTAGACTTCTTTGTATAATTTCCCTTTATTACACTCCACTTATTGTGCTTAACCTGAGAACAAAGTCCATGACACCAGATCCCTGCTCCACACTCAGCTGCAGATATGTAGATGGTTGAAGTTAGCTCTGATTGTAGACTTCCCTGAGAGAAGGGAGGGGAGTCAGCCCATTACAATTGTGCCTATTGAAATCGCTGAGTTATGGTGGAACTTAGCTTTGGCAGACAGTGTGACTTTTTCTGTCTTCTGAAGTGGAGCTTACAGGAGCCTTAGAGGTGTGTTTCTGCGAGGATATGGTCCTTTCCTACTATTTAGGAAAGTTGCTGCAGCCATGCATTCTGTTGGGTGGGCCAGAGTGGTGAATCTTGTGTCCAGCAGCAATAGGGACAAAGGCTTGGCACTGGACATAAACTTGCCTGCTTCTCCTAGTGGTGAGGGGGCTCCTCTTGCCACACTGGACCTGCAAGAAAGCACTTGCTTTCACTGTCAGATCATGGCATCCAGCATGCAGGCATCTTAGAACTGTGTGTCCCCCCCAAACCTGGCCCTTCCCCTGCTGGCTCCCCACACTGTGTGGTGGTACTGGCCTTCTACCCTGCCTCTGCTGGATTTGCAACTCTCCCCTCCCTCTCTCACTCTGCCATCAACAGACACTTTTGGCCACCCACCTTCACCAGTGCATGGATGTGGGTCATTAGGAGTCCTCTGGTGACAGCTCATATGAGAGGCATGAGAGACTTAGTTGATTTCTGGTTTTGCTTTATGGAGATATCTTTCTTAGCTCATTTTGCCATTTTTTTCTGGACATGTCCTTTTTTTTTTTTTAATAAAGATTTATTTATTTGTGCATACAGAACTGGGGTGCAGGCCAGAGGCTCAGGGGCGGTGAGAGGCTTCACCAGAGACAGAGAGGGGAACAAAACAGGCAGATTGACTAAGTACACTGCTGAGGGGAGCAGCGGGCGGGTCAGGAGAGGTCTGCCACGCCATATGGTCACCTCTGGGACAGGCGGGAATCGAACTCATGCAGAAGCGGCTTTAGATTCTCAGCGCTACGCCACCAGGGAGGGCCAACATGTCCTTTTTTTAAAGAGCGTTTATATACCTTGAATTTATCAGATTTATATACTTATTACTGTTATATCAAATCAGTTACTACAGGCTATAATTATTTTTGTAATTTTAATTCATTTTGCTCTATCTTCCAGATTCGGCTGAGTGACCTTATAGCAGCCAGAATCTTAAGGTATACAGATTTTGATACATTAATCTACACCTGTGCTCCTGAATTTGACTTCATGGAAAAAGCGGTATGAATATTTCTTTGTTTTTTCTTTCTCTACAGGTATAATGAGTTTTTTTTTTCCTCTTAATTTTTCATTTTAGTCTGAAACTCAAAAATTTATTTAGGAAAACTCAATTTATTTATTTCATCATTTTTTTTTAATATGACTTGTACTAGTCATATGTCTTTTCATATGTGTGAAATAAGTATACAATGGCCTGTATTTTAAAGAGTACTTGATGATGATGGTTTAACTCAAATATTCCAGGAGAGTGCTTAGCATACTATATTAATATCTAGTATTCTGCATATTAGATTGCTATATACAGTTGTTAATAATTTAGATCACACAAAGATGTGGGGTCACTCAGGAAAAAGTTCCAAAGTTTTGTTATGTTTTTGAGAAATTCCATTTTATTACATTTAATGCCCCAAATATTACAAAAATTTTTAACAAGGTGTTGCCAAGAGAGGTATACTAGTAAGTATGTATTATTCTGTTATCTGCCCAACCAGTCATCCATTCTTTCAAAACTAATATTGATCATTATCTGATTATCTGCAAGGCAGTTTTCTTTCATATATATATATATATATATATATATTTATATACATATAATAGTTTATTTTTACATCATTTTGTACATTATTTTTTTCATCTCAATTGTAATCCGCGTGGGTTTCCCATCACCGAATCACCCATGTGGCGAGGCAGTTTTCTATAGAAATACCAAAAAGAATATAACTTGACTCATGCTTTTATGAATAATATAATTTAGAATTGTGCTAAATTATTCCCTTTCACAGTGATAAATTAAGAGAATTCTTTAGTTGGTATTACTTCAGTACTCATTCTCTCATGCTTAGGAAAATTACTTAGGCTATTTTTTTGTTGTTCTTATTTAGTGAATGAGAATAATGGAAATTTGCAGCTCAAAAAGTGATTACTTATAGCCCAGGGATCAGTAAACACGTTTTAAAACTATTGAAAATTATATAAATAGGGGAAAAATAAGAGCAAAAGCAAGAAAAATAACATATATATCTAATTAGTTTTTTATATTTTTAGAGCTATTTTTATAATTTTGATTTTTTCCATTAGTTCATGAAAACGGATATATATATATCCGGATATATATATATATGTATACACACACACACACACACACACACACACAGGTGATAGATAATAGATATTTTTTACCTTTAAGGAACTTTATTGTGAATTTCAATTTGACATAGATTTTTTCCCCATTTATTGTAAAATTTAATAAATGATTCTTCAATTATTTGCTATATTTCAGACTCCACTGAGATACACAAAGACATTACTGCTTCCAGTTGTTATGGTGATTACTGGCTTTATCTGTAGAAAGGTATTTAAAACAATTTTAACATTTACTTTTGGGTTCAAAATAAGAAACATAATAGATTATCATTAATAGCTCAGAATTCCATCTTATTTTTAGGATGGACTGTTCTTCTCCCTAAATAACTATTTTTTATTTAGATCTTTCACTGTCTCTAGTATTATTTGAGACATTAGAAAAGATACTCATTCAAAGATACTACCCACTTTAAGCCAAGAAGTACATTAGCATCGTTAGCGTCAATGTAGAGGTGTACAGGAAGAGTCCGCACAGGCACCCACACCTGCAACCACTAAAGCTTAGCCCCTTTGTTTCCATACAAATCCTCAATGTTTATTTGTCCTATTTCCTGTTTTCAACTTCAAGGATACTTCCACTGGTCATTTAAATTTTCTCTTGCAAAATCACTTCTGGAAAGGAAAGAATGAGGGCAGGTATAAGTATGCTTTTACTGTCATCCTACCAAAACTTAAACTCTGATAAATGTGTATATTCTTTTAACTATACACTCAAATAGAATCTCATTTATGTCACTTGAAACATTTTTCCTGGTAGGATGTCATTGAATCAACTAGAGAAGCAAAAAATCTAAACTCAGATTTCATGATAAATTAGATTCCAAATTTCAATATATTTTTTCTTATCATTTATCTGTCTAAACCATGCTGCCTCTTCATGAAACAAACCCCTTTCAGCCACACCCCGCTAATATAAGTGTAAACACTAGGAAGGTGTTCTTCACATAGAAAACTTAGGAGTTTAGAGCTTGAATGGAGTATCTATTATCTATTTCAGTGCTTTTTGAAATTTCAGGTAGTATTGATTTTACAACATTATGATTTAGAGGTGTAGGTTCACACCTCTTCAGATGATGTTACTGCATGGTGCCTACCCTCAAAATTCCAATAATCCTCCACCCTAGTCCCTTGAGGCTCCTCTGTGCTTTGCTATACAGCCTCTATTCTGCTATCTTAAGTCTAAAGTTTGTTTTGGTTTAGTTTTTGTCTGTTCCTTTGCTTTGTTTCTTTATATTTCACATAAATGAAATCATTTGCTATTTCTCTTTTTTCTTCTGACTTATTTCATTTAGCATAACCCCCTCTAGTTCCATTGTCACAAATGACAAGATTTCATTTTTTTAATAACTATAGATTTTAATATGTATATATGTGTATATATATGTGTGTGTGTATATATATACATAAGTATGTATATATATTACATATACACACACCATTTTCTTTATTATTTTCTTAAAGAAGAGCTAGTTATAACTCACAAAAATTACTTGTCTGGGACCAAGCTGGGATAAACCTGTTCCGACAACTCATTCTTTAACAGTAAAAGTGCTTCTTTTTAGTGGGGGTGTTTAAGTTACGAATCAAGAAATTTTAATTGTCATATAATTCCCTAGAAATATCTCATTGATTTGATTCTATTCACAGACTTTCCGTGATGTCTTATGTGTCTTATCTGCAAACACTTATTTAAGGTAATTATATCTAAGTTTATTTTTAAACATACTATATCCAATTGTTAAGTAATTTACTGCAATGTTAATTTTCAAATGAATGTACATTAATCTACATTCATACAGTCATATAGTGTATGACTAAGAAAGGTGATTTGAACTAAGCTTTAAAACAAGACTGAAGTCTTGTTTTGTTTTTAAAGATGTATTTATTTATGTATACAGAACTGGGGTACAGGCCAGAGGTACAGGGGAAGTGAGAGGATTCACCAGAGACAGAGTGGGAGCAGAAAAGGCAGATTGACTAAGTACCCTGCTGAGGAGAGTAGCGGGTGGGTCAGGAGAGTTCTGCCGCACCATGTGGATCACTTCCGGGGTAGGGATTGAACTCATACTGAAGTGACTTTAGGTTCTTAGTACTGTGCTTTAACCCACTGAGACACCAGGGAGGCCCTGAAGTCTTGTTTTTTATGGCTCTCTTATATACTTGGATTTATTTTGGAGATATTTATTAATTAACTCAAAATAAAAATCAATTTATCTTTAATATAGCAGAGAAAGAACTATCAGTAAATAGAAGCTAAAGTTTTTTTACTTTCAAAGAAAGTATAAGTACTTGTTTTTCTAATTATTTGTGGTTTTTTTCCTATATTCACTATTAAAATAGCACAGAGCATCACTTTTTTGTGGTTTTAGTAAAGGCACTAGAATTAGAATGTCAACATGTGCAAGAAAAATAATACTCAGATCACACATTGCTATAGGACATAAGATTGTGAAAACAGTTTCCTTTTAAGGAAACTCAATTCAAATTACATTATTTGTAAATATGTAATTATTTTTGTTTTACTTAATTAAACTTATTTTTTTTTTTAAAGATTTATTTTTATTTGTACATACAGAACTGGGGTACAGGCCAGAGACTCAGGGGCAGTGAGAGACTTCACCAGAGACAGAGTGGGGAGCAGAACAGGCAGATGGAGGAAGTACACTGCTGAGGGGAGCAGTGGGCGGGTCAGGAGAGGTCTGCCACGCCATGTGGTCTCCTCCCGGGCAGGCGGGAATCGAACTCATGCGGAAGTGGCTTTAGCTTCTCAGTGCAGTGCTTTAACCCGCTGCGCCACCAGGGAGGACCTAAACTTATTTTTAAGGCAGTTGTAAATTTCTAAAAAATTATGATGATAATACAGTTTTTCAAACCACTACCCTCTGTTGGTATTTACAATGAAGAGCTTTATATGATTATCAGAATTAGAATCTTATGGTACATTTGTTGAAGTTATTTCCAAACCAAGGAGGTTATAAGGCTCTTTTTACTTGTTCAGGTCAGATAGAGTCTAGGGAAATGTATCTTTACCTTTTTAATAATGTTCTTTTATTTATATCTCTGAAAACTTACATAAGGAATGCATGAAGGGACCTAGGATATATAATTGGGTAGCTGAGGATTCAGGGGTACAGAGTAGCTGTCTTCAAATTTTGAAAAGAATATAATGTAGAATAGGATAGATTTGAAGGGGCCAAAGTGTAGAAGAAAATTTGGCTCAAAATAAGGAGATATTCCTGATTACATACGTGAAAGTGACAACTCTGTGTGTATGTATGGACAGAAGGATTCTCTAAATCACAAAAATAATATATGCTTTTAGTAATCAGACAAATGTATATCAAGAAAAAGAAGGCATGTTTCCCTCACCAAGAATTACTCCTAACTGGTACTGACTGCTTTGTATGTATCATTCTAGAAGAACATACCAAAACTATATATATATATATATATATATATATATATATATATATATATACTTGAAAAATGTTATTTATTAAAGGGAGAAAATACTTGCATCTTGCATTTTTTTTTAAAAAGTATTTATTTTAGCTGAGGAAATATTAGGGTCTATTCATCAAGTATTACCACCATAGTACACCTAACACTAACTCACTCATAGTCCATCAACAATATTTTTTAAAATGGAAGCATTTTTGTATGTGTTAAATAGGGTCACTATAAATTATGTGTGTATAAATTATGTCTCTTAAAGTGCTATGGCTTTTTATGGATGTTTAACATTCTTAATGTAGACATATACGTAAGTAATTTAGAGAAAAATTTTAAAATCTAAGGTAAGATATTTATTTTTATGTAATCATAGTATAATAATGCACATTCAGGAAATAGAGAATATTTTTCTTTTATTTCAGAAAACAGCTCCTTGAAAATGGTGAGGTAAAGCTTTCATTTTAACCTCTGCTAGATTTGTGCATTAAGTTCTAATTAAAGGATAAGTCATAGGGGTAAACCTTGTTGTTTACACAACATCAGATGTGCTTAAGTGGTTCAGCCTTAGTAGTAATCTGCTGATCCTTCCCTCTTTAATCTGCTCTCAACTTTGAGTAGTGAGGATTTGAAAACTAGAAAGCTTAATTATGACCATAGAGCAGAATCATGTTACCTTAATTCATTTGTTCATTCATTCATTCAACAATAACAATTTCTAATCCACTGAGAAAATCAGGGTTACAGACCTTCAGGGCAGATTCCATCACCCTTACACATAGACTGGATGGTCATTTACAAGCTCAGTGGTGTCATAGGCTACAAAAGATGATGTTACAATGTCCTTGGCCTCAAATAGTATAATTTTTCAGTGGAGACATGCAACAAGTAAAGCAGCATTTCATATGGCACTAAATTATTTTGTGGTATAAAAGGAAGACCTGCATGTGTGTCATATATCATTTTCATAATTTAAGACTTATGAGCTACAGTTTTTTATCTGCTTCAGCAGTATTCCTTAGGGGTTTTCAGCCTACCAGATGCTTGCCCTGTTAATAAAGTTTTTTTTTTTTAAAGATTTATTTAGTTATGCATACAGAACTGGGGGTACAGGCCAGAGGTGCAGGAGCACAGAGAGGATTCACCCATGACAGAGTGGGGAGCAGAACAGGCTGATTGACAAAGTACACTGCTGAGGGGAGCAGCGGGTGGGGCAGGAGAGGCCTGCTGTACCATGTGGGTCACCTCTGGGGCAGGGATCGAACTCATGCTGAAGTGGCTATAGCTTCTTAGTGCTTTGCTTTAACCCTCTGTGCCACCAAGGAGGGCCCTGTTAGTAGTTTTGTTTGAAATATTTATACAGTGAAGCTCTTAACCAAAAAAAAAAAAAAAAAAAAAGCCCCCTATTAGTTTATAGAAATATTTGTATAGTCCACTCCTTTTAAAATGAACTAATTTGTGTTTTTCTCTGATTTTTGTTGTTGCTGGAATGACATGTAAATTTGTGAAGCACTCCTTAGTTTTCTGTCTCCATGGCTTACTTCCTCACTTTCTACAGTCCTGCTCAAATACCTCCTTTGCAGTAAGATCTACCCAAGTGAGCCTACATACAGCTGCACCTGCTTTCTCCTGTTCTAGGACTCCTTTTCCTCTCTGTTTTCTTTGCCACTGCATTAACTACTTTCTGCTTTCCACTGCTTCTCCTCACTACGTGAACTAAAATATAAGCTTCGTGAGGGCAGAAATTGTTCACTGTTGTTTTGTTGACTATCTGGAACACCCAGAAGAGTATCTGGCATTTAATAAATGTTTGTTGAATGAATGAATAAATATGGATAAATTTATTACTAAGTTAAAACGTCCTTATCCTGATGGATGATGATTATTTTTGATATACTTTTATTAATTTTAAAATATATAAAGTGAAAATATTTTTGTTTGTTTTTATAGCTAATTTTCCACACATTGCAGTTGTTAGCATTTACTGCCCTTGCTGTTTTAATTATGAGACTGAAGCTGTTTTTGACACCCCACATGTGTCTTATGGCCTCCTTGATATGCTCTCGACGGGTAAGGTCTTTCTTGTATAACTATGCTTTAACAACTATAGCACCTGCAGTGCATTTTACCATAGCTTTGCTGAGTAATCGAAAGCATAAAAACACAGTGTTTTTATTTTTAAATATTTTAAAATGCTAGTCCATGGTTGATTATAGAGTAAGAAAAGCAACTTCAAATAGCTGTTTAAGTTATTCTAAATTTTACTTATTTTTTATGATACATGATAAGGCATACCACTCCCTCCCTTAATATCCTTTCAATTCTGTAGTGCCATTATTGTATCTTATATATAAAAGAACTAGACAAATAGCTACAATTCTGGGGCCAAGGTACTTCTAGAAACAATTTATTTTGATTATGTATAGCTTGTTTATGAATATCATAATGTTTATTTTCCTGAGTGATGTTAGTACTTGTGGGGTTTTCCTAGTTTATTTAGGATGTCCATAAAAGACACACAGATGTTAAAGGATTTAATTCTAGGGTGTTTCAAATTTGTAATTTCCTAATCTTAATCCCATGTAGTACTTAATTAGTACTAGAGGAGTCCTATATTCCTTCTTTAATTCTTTAGTGAGGAAAGAAAAATGCCTTTTTAATTGGACCACATAATTCAAAGTATTTGTTGTTTTTTAAATAAAATAGGTGATGATACCTCTCTATACTATTAGCATACTGATAATATCAAATGATTATCCACTTAGGCTTAAGTAGCAAGGTGAAAATTTAATATTAACCCTATAAAATTCTTCATAGAAGTGTTATAAATAAATGTTTTTTTTCATTACAGCTCTTTGGCTGGGTTTTTAGAAGAGTTCGTTTTGAGAATTTTATATTTGGCATTGTGACAGTGATGTCCGTACAAGGCTGTGCAAACCTCCATAATCAATGGAGCATAATAGGAGAATTTAATAATTTGCCTCAGGAAGAGCTGATACAATGGATTAAATACAACACCAGACCGGGTATGTTGCTATTATGTATAACTAGATTTATACCCACATGCTATGTAGTTATCATTTCTTATATGTGTGTATATATCTATTGTGACATAAAAATGCATGCATAGTCATTCACTATTTGTGAATACCCTTACAGATTTTGAGCATGCTAGTTGTAATATTCACGAAATCAAGCCTTTTCAAAAAAGAATTTCGTGCCCACTTTAAGTCTCTCCTGCATAACTGTTTGCATTAGGATTAATGATTATTTACTAGTTATATGCTATATATCTCAGAGATAATTATCAATCAGTATTTTCTTCATAAAAATGGCATATCAGAAATCAATCTTCAAAAAAAATTTCATTCCTTGTGACAGACTGCTAGAGAAAATCCTTTTGACCATGGGCTGTTATGTACAGCCCTATATCATGTTAGGCCATGCACAAATTCTGTAAATTCAGTCACATGTAGAAAAGTTAATTAAAACTTTGGATATCCTGTTTTCATCACTAAGTATCTCTACTTTTAGACACTAGAAAATATTCCTTTGAGCTTACCTTCTTTTCTTCCTCTTTGTCCAAAATCACTTCAGGCAGATTGACACTTAACTTTTAAATATCACTTTTAATTACTTTCCAGAGAATAAGCATATTCTACAGGGTTTCCTCTAAGTGATCTATAATCTTGCTCATGACTATTTTGATATTTACTAATTTTTGTTGTTACAGGTTTTTCTCTATGGTTTATTAAAATTTATCTTGTAATGCTTTAAGTTGATTTCCTCTTACCTCTTTCTTGATAGTCACTATTTTACTAATTATCCTTCATAAAGGAAAATATTTTTACTTTCATTCAGATATTTTATTTATATCTTTTAATAACATATGTCTTTGAGTGACAGTTACTCGTGCCTTAGAATTACCAGACCAACTTAATAAGAGTTTTTAAATTATTCTTATAATGACATAACTTTATAGGAATTCAGGCAGGCAGTACTTTTATTCTTCTTTCCTCTCCCCACAGTTATTTTTCCCAGGCTTTAAAATGTACTGTTTCTTTTCATCTTATCTCCTTTTTTTCTCAATCTGTTTTGGATTCCTGGCAAAGAGAGCTTACATTATGCAATTTATCCTTCTAAACAGCTCCTTCAAATCCCTAACTCATTTGTTACTGCCTCTTCCTCAATCTTACAAATCTGTTCTGTTCTCTTCTTCCAAACCTCGATGATGAGTTTTCTCATAGCTACCATATGTTTCATGAAAGCAGCTGAAGTTCTGTAGTATGGGTGGGACTAGTGTTACATCAGGTCTGTCATGAAGACTGTATAGTTTGCACACTGCATGAAGATGCCTAGTGGAGAGGACATTTGGAAATGTGGTTCATTTACCACATCCTGCGTCAGTGAGCCTCTTTCAAATCAGAAGGAACACATTTTTCTAATGCCTGCAGCAGATCAAATGGAGATTTCAATTTATTTGTAGGAAATTATCTTACCATTCCCCTATATGATTATATTTACCTCAACACCAAGAAGAAAAGAGAGTGTAAGGAGCATTTCTTTCCCCTTCTCTGTCATAGGTGGCTTCTGCTCACCATCTCCAGCCGCTGCTGGACAGACCATCGTAGTTTCTTCTGTATAGCACTGACCCTAAGCTTTGAGTTACTTGAGCCCAAGATTTCCCGTCCTTGGCACATGGAAATTATGGGATGTCTTGTGTATTGCAGACCATTTAGCAGCTTCCAATTCCTTTACTTACCAGATGCCAGTCAACCCTCCTCTTAGTTCTTCCCCCATTGTGGAACCAAATAAAATTTCTTTAGAAATCATAAGTATCCAAGAAACTAACTCACTGCTGGTAAAGAACCACTGGTCTGACCTGAAAACTTTTTACCACTAATTATGAAATCTTGCAATAATAAATACATATTTGTACTTCAGTTGATTTACATATTTTTAAGTTTAAGGCATAAAGAGATTCTTACTCAGCTACATTTACAATACTTCATATATTTGAAAATAAATAAATATTTATATTACATTAGGTATGAATAACGTGCCTTGCTTTTATTAGTGATATTATTTTATTAGTGATATTATTAGACTGGTTGAAATGACAACCTTCGTAATTATGTAATCATTTATTATGTAGAAGTCCCAGAAGCCATCATTTGATAATTAGAGACAAAATTGAAACAGAAGTCAGGTAGATTTTGGTGTATCCTAATAATAAACAAAAGATAATGCATTTATACATGCAATTATTTCAAAAAGTACTAACGGCAAGTAGTGAGATTATTTGATAAAGTATATAAATTATATAAATACAAACAGAAACCAAGAAAGCTTAATTATGTATATTTAATGATGATCTGATGCCAAAAAAGCCAAGTTTTCCTCTGGCAAGTCTTCAGAGCTGAAGTTTACAGCCCACAAAAATCATTTTAGATGTACTGTGAGATTTGCCCTGTTTAACAGTGTATCAGTTCCCAACACTTAAAATTATTGGAACAATGTATGAAATTTATATTTCATTCCTAGTTCTATGTAGTTCTGTAGTACCACATGACAGAGTGCTTGACTGTGACAATAGGTGGGTGCTGGTACTTTCTAACTATACAATCTTGCTTAACTCACTCAACTTCACTGTTTGTCCAGCTTTCTCATCCACAAAATAACAATACCCATCTAATGGACTAATTTAATCCTGGTGAGAATATTTTACACAGTTCCTGGTACTAAATAACATTTAACAAAAGTTGGATGTTATTATAATAGACAATAATAAAAATTTGAGTGAATAAAATAAAGTCAATGTTTATTAAATGTATTTTACACATTTATAAACATAGAAATGTAGACATGTATACATTAAAATGTATTTATCACAGACACAGGTTTTGACTTTTTTGAAATATGCTTTTATGGGCTATAACCTTGTTTTTCAGATGCTGTTTTTGCAGGTGCTATGCCTACAATGGCAAGTGTCAAGCTCTCAACTCTTCACCCCATTGTGAATCACCCTCATTATGAGGACGCAGACTTGAGGTTGGCAACTGATTGGATATTTCAACTAAGCATAAAACATAATGACTTTTAGGATTTTTACAGAAACACACATATGCTCTCATCTGCATGTTTATGCTGGAAATTAAAAACAAAATGTATGATAACTATCCAGAAATGACAATATGTGTCTGTTGGACCTTAAAGCAGGTTTACCAACCTCTGAAAACTGAAAAAGCAAAAGCCACTTTCTCAAACTGACGAATGTGTCACAAATTTACAAATTGTGTGTATGTGTGTGTAAGTAGGTGTAAAAGTACCAAAAATTTTTCTAAATTGTAAGAGAAGGCGGGATGGATTTGGATTATAGCCGTAGTTTGGGAACCCCTGTCCTAGACTTCTGGGTGATTACAAAAGCTATTCTTACTTGTGGCCAGTGACTGTTTCTAAAAGAAAAAGTATCCAAAATTTGCTGTTAAATGCTTCATGAAGATTTAGGACAGTCTTTTTCTCGCTGATTGTGAAAAATTAATTTCTATTAAAGTATGGAAGTTTTGTTTTCAGTAAATGACTGACTTTAAAAAATAATTTTACTTCTAGTAACTATCAGGGTCATCTTTCCCTTTGAATGCATTTTTGACCTATTGTTAAACTCAAATTTTTTAATCACAACTTTATGTATGGTAATTGGACATCCTGCTTGGTTGAAATTCTAAGAATTGTTCAAGCTACAAATGGTAGTGTACTCAGTGTTTCATAAAATCTAGGGACAGTTCATCTGTTGTACCACACTTTAAGGGAATACGTCCTGCTTCTCAAGCTTTTTTTAAAGACCTTTCTTTACCTAACCGCTACCTTAGATGCCCACTGTCTGTTGTTACATTTGCTATATTCAGCTTCAACTCATACTGTTTGAAGCTTCCACAGAAGAAATTATCTACTCAAATTTACATTTTCACTATATTCTGTCTCTATTGGAATATGTTCCATTACTAATTATGTTATAATTTATGCAAAGCAAATTTTATATTCTGAACTATTTTTCTACTCCTCAACTCTAGATTCAAAAGTGGTTTATACGCTAGCAGTCATCTGTCAGTATCTGTGGAGACTGGTTCCAGGTCCCCCATGTGTTCCAAATCTATAGATGTTCAAGTCCCTTTCATAAAATGGAGTAATATTTGCATAAAACTTATACACATCCTCTCATATTCTTTAAATCACCTTTATATGATTTATTATACGTAATGAATGCCATGTAGGTAGCTATTATTTGGTATAACTTAGGGATTAATGTCAAGGGAGAAGTCTGTACGTGTTCAGTACAGATGTATGCCTAATGCCATAGTAGTGCTAAGAACCTGCTTTGATCCATGGTTGGTTGACTCTGAGCACACAGAACCTAGGGATAAGGAAGGCTGACTCTACACACCCCACTCAAATTGCTGTTATGTGTCAGCACATTTAACATACAAACATGAATGTGGAAATTGTCTCCAAAATAATGCATACTGCTTGGGGCTATATATAGCAATATTTCCCCCCAGTAAACACTGAGGTTTGAATTTTCGAGCCAAATTTCTTTAGTTCATTCTATTACCATTGATTTAAAATTCTTTTAATCTTTTGTTTGAATTTAAAGGGCTCGGACAAAAATAGTTTATTCCACATATAGTCGAAAATCTGCAAAAGAAGTGAGAGATAAATTGTTGGAGTTACATGTGAATTATTATGTTTTAGAAGAGGCATGGTGTGTTGTGAGAACTAAGTGAGTATGAGTCGATGCTATATGATATGGCATAATTTTAAATAAATATTTTTATTATGGTAATTTTGATTTTTTAAAGAATATCTATGCCAAATACTTCCATTAAAATATTATCCTGGTACTTTATTTAATATAATTTCATGTTGGAAAGGAAAGTTTCAAATTAATTAGGTAGAATCTTAATTTCAAAAATTATAGTATCCTGACTTTTCAAAAATTATAGTATCCTGACTTTTCATTTTTATTTAACATGTGTTTTTTTTTAAACATCCTAGTTTATTTTTTCACAAGGAATTTCACCCTTAACTGTGGTTACCCTAGTTTTTCCACTATCTAAGTGTCCACAGTCTTCTATCGTCCTGCACCAGGAGCTCTGTCTCTAAAACTGAGGCTCTCAGTAGGGAGCAGGGAGCGCGGAGAGCAAAGGTGGGCGGGGCACAGTGGACCATGATAGAGCACTAAGGGTGCCTAGTGGTGGGTGTGGTGTGGTAACAGGTGTCTGAATGTCATCCTGTATTTCCGGATCATATACAGTATTATAAACCAATGTTACCTCAATTAAAAAAACTCTAAAATAAGTGGTGGCACAGAGGTTAAAATCTCAGTGCTACCAAGCTATTGCCAACCACTGCTGTTTATGTTTCCCCAGCCAGGGAGCTGACCCACGTGGCACAGCAGACCTCTCCTGTCTTGTCTGCTGCTCCCCTTAGCAGTGTATTTGAGCAGATCCACCTGCCCTACTCCCCAATCCGTCTCCATTGAGTCATCTCACCACCCACCTCTGGTCTACACCCCAGTTATTGTATTCATAAATAAATCTTTAAAATTATCAAGTAAAAGAAAACACACATTGAGTCAGAGAACAGGAGGGGGAGATCTATGGAAGTGTGTGTGCATGTATATATCTATATTTATATATATGTATAGTGTCATTGCACCTTTATCAGTAACACATTTCACATGGAAATGCAAGTAAGATACTTAAATTCATTTTTGTTATCTTGCATATGTTGAAGTCACATGTTTTGAAATAAAATCTTTATTTAATAATTTAGTCTCTAAAAGTTTAATGGATATTTTACAATTTACAAATTTCCCTCAGTATAAATGCATTTGAAATATAAACATAGATATATGTATATGTCTCTTTTTTTCAGACCTGGTTGCAGTATGCTTGAAATATGGGATGTGGAAGACCCTTCCAATGCAGCTAACCCTCCCTTATGTAGCATCTTGCTCAAAGATGCAAGGCCTCACTTCACCACAGTGTTTCAGAATAGTATGTACAGAGTACTGAAGGTTAACTGAAAATGAGTATATCCATTACACTGTGGTGCAATAACTCCCTTTTGGGCTTACTTATATTCCTAAAAATCACAAGCTTTAATAAGGAACCCTTAGAAAGAAGATAATAAAATTTAAAGTTTTTCTGATTACTAAAAGGTAAATTATTTCATTGTTTTCTAGACTTAAGCTTGTCATACAAATAATTAAATTATTTCCTATTATATAATCATATGTTCATTTGAATTTTTAAAAAAATGTATATAAAAGAACAATGAAATTTAATAAATCAAAGATATTTAAGTCCTTTTATATCTAACTAGGTGAATTGCTTCAGATTTTCTGTAGTACCCAGATGTACCAGCTTACACTCTTCAAACCACTTAGAATAGACCAGTGCAGATTTTAAGATCTGGATACTGATCACACCATTTTTACCTCTGTGAGATTTGTTTGTAACCATGTGCCTAGTAAGCTTATTTTTCTCTTTTACTAACCCTCAAGAAATATCTCTAATAGTCTTTTAATAACTTTTTATCATTTCAAGTTTTTTTTGTTTTGTTTGTTTGTTTGTTTTTAAGAACAGCTTACAATTTAATGTTTGGATACTTTTGAAATGTATTTCTCTAACTGAATAATTATTTTCCACTAATCTCTTTTCAGTCTCAATCGAACATATTATTAACCTGTCTTCAGAATCCAGTGGTTTTTCTTTTAACATCCAGAAAAATTAAAATCGGTACCACCACGTTTGGAGATTAAATGTAATCAGAAAAGAAAATTTAGTTAAATTTATCATATGAGATTTTAAGATTCTGGATCTTAAATGAAGCAAGGGCATTTCATTTTGGCAGCTGTGTGGTTCATTGGAGTTCTTTCTCTCTGGTCATCATCTTCTGCAATAACACTTGAAAGTCTGCATTTATTACTGATTTTGGATGAGGAAGGTAATGTTTTATAAATCTTTCCCTCTGGTATAAACCTACTCAAAAATAGCGCTTTCAAAGACAAGAACACTCATTTTCCACTTTGCTACACATAAAAAATGTTCCATCTATTGTATTGTTAAGTATCTAAATTAATCACCTTGGAATTTTTGTGATTCCCTAAATTCTTGGCTTTCTGTTTTTGACATAATGACTTAATTGCGTAGTTTATAGTATGTAGATTACATACAGAAAATACAGTAGAATTGGTTTAGAACATTTTAATAATAAAATATTTCAATACAAGACACAAACCAGCTAAAAAGTATATCACACTTATATTAGCATTTTCAAGGAATTTGTTTTGGTGTAAGTATGGTGCAAAGAAGGAAAGAAAACATAGTACATAACATTCAAAAATTTACAATTGGGTGATATTTTAACAGGACATATTTTAAAGAAGTTGGTAGAAAATTTAAAAGAAGAGCTGTATTAGCCAATAAAATATTCAATGCAAATATACTTGCATGGATTTATATATAGGAAAACAAATTACTTTCAACTTTTATAGTAATAAAAGTTATAACTATAATCCAGAATACACAGCAGCTAAGAAAGTAAGTCACAGGTTTTTTGTTTTTGTTTGTTTGTTTTTTAACTTTTTAAAATAATTTGTTTTGGTATAATTGTGGGGCAAATAAGGAAAACAGAACACCTGATACTCAGAAAATTAAAATAACACATTTGAATGGTGTTTTCATAGGAAGCATTTTAAAGAAATTGTTAGCACTCAGCAAGAGCAGAGGAACGAGTTGCATTAACTGATAGTGTTCCATATGAACAAACTAATCTGGCTTTGTTATTTCATGTACTATGTGTCTGTAAAAATTAAAGAAAAACCTTTGAAGATCCTCTGTGTATTTTTCTTCATCCCTTACCAAGCATACATTTTGTAATAAATAGTTCTGATGTGAAGGTAGAGATCATTAGTTCCAGCATTTATAACTTTGCAATAATTACCATTTTAAAACAGCCCTGTATAGTCTCATACAGAAGGCTGTCATGCCGATAGTGTGGGCTTGGTAACCAGATGGATCTAAGTTTGAATCCAGCACTTTCATTTACTCAGCATATTACCTGCCATCTGCTTAAAGAATAAGAATATTTATTGAGCACTTACTCTCTGCCAGGCAGTGTACTAAGCCTGGTCATATTACTTGACTCTTATGAGCACTTGTTTCTTCATGTGTAAATCAGAACCCACAGAATCCTCTTGGCAGGATCGTTATGAGCATTAGTGAGCTACTTCCATTTTGTTCTCTCTCTCCAGCTCACTAAATAATCTGTTCAGAAGCGTCAAACAATACTAGGTTTTCTCATCTCAGAATCCCAAAGGGTGCTACCCTTGTTTTATGTCAGTAAATAAGAATACTGAACTGCAGTTTACTTTTATACAAATAATGCTGTTGGTTTCTTGCCTAAATCTATTTTACTGTTTATTCTTTGAAATGAAAATTATGCATGAATACTGTGGGCTAAAGATGGAGAGATTTTTCCCCAGTTTGTCTCAGCATTCTGATGGTTGTATTTATGCACATTTATTTGGAATCATAGCTACAAGTAGTTGCGCCCAGCAATTCCTCTCTGTCTTTCTGTTGAAGGAAACTGCTGTACAGCTTCAATGATTGTGTTCTACTCTTTCTCTTACTGGATGCCACATTGAAAAACCTGGGTACTTGTCATGTTAATTTTAGTAACAAAGTATACTTTGTATTTTTATTATACAAGCACTGCAAACATTATAGACAATGAGTTCTGGAAAAAACCAGGAAATTTGAAAGAAGGGAAAATTATTCGACAGGCACCATTAAATCTCATTGTTTTCTTCCAACCTTTTAGGCGCTATTTTTTTGCTTTTTTCTTCTTTCAAATAAAATTGCATGTTTTGCTCTTCATCCAGTAAATATAGAAATGTTTTAGACTACATAATCTATTTTGTATATGTGTGTATACAGAAAGAGATACATACATTTATTCACTGTTTTCATTTTTGCTAATCCGTGTGTGTATAGAACACTTCAGTGAATATCTTAGTGCTTTAAGGTATTTTGTAAGTTTTAAATTATTTCCTCAGGACAGATTCCATCAAGTTAAACTTCAGTAAAGAAATGTGGACTCCCTTAAAGTGTTCATTGCCATTTGCTTTACTTAACTTTGCGAAGGAATTGAATACACCACCGAAAGTCAGTATATGATGATGCTTATTTCCCAACACATTAACATAGGTTAACTTTATGAAAAAGTTGGCTAATTTGTGATTTTTAAACTCCAATTAGCATTTCTTGTATGATTAGTGAGCGTGGTCCTGCTCCTTATGCGTATTGCCGCTTGCCAGCTTCCCATTCAGCTGTGTGTCTGTGTGCCCACCCGGTGTGGGGATTGTGTTGCAGATACTCATTGCTTGTGAACTGCATTGTCGTTCGGTGTCCAGCAAAGCTGATAGAGACTGTTTTGAGTTTGTATATTCTTACCACTCTATAGGCTGGAGGTTATGTTCAAAGCTGTCTAAAATAGTTTATGGTTTATACCACATTCAGTGTGTCATTTATTTTTAAATATGAAGTTTTAAAATATCGTCACAGCTGTTTAAGAAGGCTTTAATGATCATAGTTTTATAGCTGGGCACTAACAACTTTGTAATTATATTTATGTATGGCATTTCCCAAACCATTATCTAATCTAGACTGCTTTTTGTAGGACATTTAAAACAAAATTATTAAATTTTCAATAGCTTTTGATGGACTAATGTCCACAGTGATCCAATAAAAACTTATTGTATTCTTATTCTTTAGAAAGTGTACTTTCTGGAACTCTGTTCATATTATTTAATCTATTGAGTCTCCTCAAAAGGGATGGGCTAGAGATAAAGAAAAAGAAAAATCTCTGAAAATTCTTAACCATGAAAAGTAAAAGACAATTTTTTTTTCTTTCAACATTTCAATTTAATGAGTAAAGGGTTTTTTTTTTTTAAACAAATAATATAGGAGTTTATTTTTACATCATTTTGTGCATTTTTCCATCTCAGTTGTAATCCCTGTGGGCTTCCCATCACCAAATCACCCATGTGCCATCACCACAGTCCAGTGCATTTCCCTCCCCCCCACTGTTTATGATCCCATTCCGAACTCCACCCTCATAGAATGTCTCTGGTATATAGCTGTTCATTATTATTATTTTCTCACCTGGTCCGTTATACTCTTGCTATGAGTGAAACCATCCGGTATTTTTCTTTTTCTTTCTGGCTTATCTCGTTAAGCATGATCTTTTCCAGCTCCATCCATGTTGCTGCAAAAGGCATCTGTTTATTTTTTTTTGGTTGCTGAGTAATATTCCATTGTGTGTATGTACCACATCTTTTTAATCCAGTCATCCACTTTTGAGCATTTGGGCTGTTCCCATGTAAAAGGCAAATTTTTAAAGGGGAAGTATTTATATCTTCACATAAAACACTAAATGAAAAAAGCAGAACTTTAAGACTTTTTAGAAGAAAATAGAGAAATGTGAATTAAAACAACATGGCAAAGTGTACAAGTCTGATAACAATTGGTGAGAACACAGAGCAACAGAAATACTCATGAATTGTAGTAAGAGTTATCAATTGGAAAATACTTTGTTATTACCTAATTGTAAATTTTGTAGTCCTTGCACACGGCAATTCCATTCTAAAGAAATACTTGCACATATGCCAGGGAAAACAATTATAAGGCTGTTTATGGAAGCATTTGTATGTGGGGCAGAGGAAGCTGAAAACAAACTTAAGGGCCAATATAATAAGTAAAAATGAAATATTTTGACACAGTGCAATGTTGTACAGGAATTAAAATGATTTATTCATGTAATAATGAGTAAATCTCAAATATGTCAAGAATAAAAAAAAACAAGTTAACACACACACACACTGCTACTTATATATAGTCTAAAAGCAAGTAAATAGTATTAGGGGATATTCATGTGTCAAACCATTGAAAACATTGGCATAATTAATACAGAATTTAGGCCGGTGTTTGCTCCTAGGAGAGAATGCTATGCAGGAGGAAT